GAAACTAATCACAAGGTACCTCCTATAAGCCAAAGAGGCAATACATGCATCATCTCTCTGTAACACATTAAGTAACACGCCAAATAACTATAAATTTAATTCAAGTAAACTTGATATTGCTTTAGCATTTAGCACAGATTGCTAATGGAAGGTACTGGCGATTACTCATCAGAGAAAAGAGGGGTGGGTCCTTCCTGGGTAAAGCCTACCAAAAGTGGAAAAATAATATATTTTTTATAGCTTCATATTTGTTCCTGTGGGCGATATCAGCTAAATACTTAACAATCAAAATATGTGCCCTTTTAAAATCATGACGCATAATTTCAGCTTATAAATTAGCGTCAAGAAAAATTATAAATAAATTACCTCTAGAAGCAATATTTGGTTGATTGTGTTTTTTAATTAAACTTACCTAGATATGAAATATATATTGAGGGAAAGTATTGCGATCGTGTAAATGTTCGAATCCGAGTTTTCAACGGAAATAAATGTTATGAAGTTCCTTGAGTCCAAATAACCAAGTCTTACAAAATTATCTGTGCGTATTTAATGTTTGGATATACCTGGGATGTTACAGCTACATTTTCGGCAAAATTGGCAAACCGGAAGTGACACTTTATACCGTCGATTTAACACATTTTTACAATTTTCTCGAAAACGCCTCTAACGATTTTGATTAAACTCAATAGATCAGTGTATTAATAAGTGTTTTTTTAAAAGTTATGATGGTTTTATCTTCATGGATGCAACCTGACATGAATTAAATGTCAATTTTTCAAAATATCTTCCTCTTAAGTACCTTTAATTTGGTTTATTTTAATTAAATAACTACCTCTTATTGTTAGTTACAATATAAAACGTCTCAATATAAACTATTAAAGAATTTTATAATTGACTAAAGGAGAAAAAACGAAAAATGTTATGAGAATATTAGAATGCTGAGAATATTAGGGAAAAAATGCTGAGAATATTAGGAATAATATCTAAAAACGAAACCATAGAAGATAATGTAAAGTAACGACAAAATTATAAATAATTTTTCTGAATGTTAAGGATATTATTGGAGGAAAGTTAATATTATTTAACAGAAACTAAATGTTTCAATTGAAAATAAATTCTATTACTAAATGTATTTTTGTTTAAAAATATTTTTAAGTTTGAAACAAAATCATATATAATCTACAGATTCGAGACAATGGAATGTTAAAAGTACATTTTATTGCACTCGTGTTAAAGAAGGAGAGGAACATAAAATTGTTTAAGAGATGAGTAAAACATCTGTTTATAACCTTAAATACATTTACTTAATAACTTTATTAAGTTTAATAACTTGAGATCCGATGATATTTAAATAATTAGGTATAGATTGTCAATTTATTCCAAAAATGCATTAAGTAACATTTAAGAAAATTAAACTAGTGAATAGTTTGATAAATTTTCTCTTTATGAAATCACAACATCATACACTTAACAATTATTGTGACGACTTTTGATCTATTGATGTTATAATCAAAAGCTCTCTTATTTGTAATTTAGTAAACTTTCCAAGGGGAAAAAAAATAAAAAATTAAATACATGTAAAAAGTGGTCGAAATTTAATTCCTGTAATTTTTACTACACAATACGATCCTTAATTATACATAATTAAATAGATGTACTTTTCGATCCCTTTTTGTATATAGAGCTCAGGGATCGGAGTTATGTGATTCAAAAACACTGATGTTGCTATCAGATTTTTATTACTTACAATCTACATAATAAATAGGGTTTGTATTATTTTTATGATCTTATAAGGATTAACAAATATGTTTCATAGCTCCAACAAAAAACTTTTTGTTACAGACAAGAATTTCAACTAGTAAATACAGTGCTAAGTGAAACTTGTGTGATGCGCGCACCAGATCTTCAAGGCCCACTTATACATTATTTTATTCAGTTAATTATTTTTTCTTCCAGAGTAATTACCGTTATTGAAAAAGATTCTCGTTAATCAATATTTTTTTTTTTTAAAAACCTGTGTCACTAGCTTTCTCATCAATGACAATTACATAATTACCTATGTTTCAATATATATTCAATAAACGAATATATGATTCGTCGTTTGAAAATAAAATCTAAGAGAGAAACCTTTTTTTAAAGGCAACATTGTAAAAAAAAATTAACCCCCTCCCCAAAATAAAATCTTGCATCCGCTACTCCTACAAGGCAAGAAAACAAGTTTGAATCATGACTGTATAAAATATATCCTTTCTTGGACATTGATTAAGGACCAATAAAATTTAAATCTAACCATGTTTAAAAAACCTTGTCTTGTGATGATTGATAAAAATCTATTAAAAGCTTCTAATATATTTAATATTTTATAGTATTCTAGACATAATATTTTAATAGAAATTTAAGAAGACAGCTTTTCCTTCTAAAAAATATCAAAAGAAATAAAAGTGCGAGGTTTAAATATATATATATATTGTTCGACTTATGATAGTACTTCATTGTCCAACATTGGACGAAGGAGTTCTTTGCAAAGACGAGTACATCAGTCTAAAGCAGCTATGGATCAACGGAAAGTACTAATAATGCCAAAGAATTTCAATCATGTTAGAATAAAATAATTCATTTATTAGTTGTTTTTTTAAGTATTTTAATGATTGGTTTAGATCACGTTATTCGTGTTTCGTCAAAGAAACGAAGAAAAGAAGGGATTCTCAGATTTTGGTCATGTCAAGTAAAGAAAGGAATACTTTTAAGGAATGAAGAAACAAATTAAATATTTTGAGTGACATTGAGCAACGGTCAATGAATAATCGAAATGAGTGAACGTACCAATATTTAATCGATGTTTTCTTTGAGGTTCACAATTTTTGTCAAGTACAGAGATTATCGTCACTAACAAAGCAGATAACAGTGGAAGATAACAGGAATGAGATAGGTTCAGGTGGCTTTGGGCGAAAATTAAATCAGGTCTAAATTTTTTTATTTAAGCACATTTTTTTTTTTAATTTTTGATATAAAACTTCCCAGATAAATCGTTATTCTTGACAAAAGGCGAGACAGTTGCCATGGAATCCGCATAACACACTTAAAAGATATGAACATAACTGACGTTATGGCCAGCTATATAAACTACTGAATAGAAAAACTAAACTAGAACTGTGGAAGGGCGTCCAAATTTTCTAACATCAAACGCATTCAATCCTTCAGTCCAAAGTCCTTTGTACAATAGTCGATGCTCCCTTCTATGTAACCAATAAAACCCGACTTAATGACCTTAATGTTCCATTTATTCTTGATCTTATCCCAGACATATTTCCCAAATTTCATCAGAACCATACTCGTCACCTTAATCCCGTAGCACAGTCCCTATCCAGCACCATCCATCCCTAGAATCCTCGCAGGTTAAAACGGCAGTTGCCCCGTGACCTTTTGTAACATGTATATATTGGAGTTCTGGCAATGGCCAGATTCCCCACTCAAGTAATGAGTGTCTGTGGTTGTAGCGCCCTTACTCAGGCTCCGCTGGCTTTTAATACCAGTGAAGTGGTTGTGGGAGAAGCGCAGAGATCTCCTGAAGCCTCGCTTTTCCCTTCACAAGTGGGTGGACAAGTCTGGTTCGGAGTTCAGGGAAAAGTCTGGATCTGCTGCCTGCGGCTTTCCGGAACTACTGGACTGATTGATTTGAGAAGCGGTATCAATGCCAAAGGGCACACGAGGTTGTTCATCAGAACTCGGCGTTACTATTCGCCTTTTCTTTCAAGATGGCGACCGAAAAACCTGTGTCGGTGAAATATAGAACTGAGAATAAAAGTATAAATTTAGGTACTACTTTCTTATGAAAGATGTTCTTAGGAAAGACACTTTATTAAATATCTGTAGAAAAAAGGTTTTTTTAGTCTCAACAATTAAAAAAATATATTTTAAATTTATCCAAATTTTCACCTCTTCAGGGGAAATAACTAGAGACCATATCTTTCCTCCTAATTGTCCGATTTTAACGATTTTTTTTTGTTTTTTTAGGAAATTCCATAAACTTTTAAAAAAGCGTATACTTTTTGAGTTATTCGGAATTTAATTTTAACATCCCTCGTAACTTTTTTTGGAGCTTCTTTTCGTTGAAGTATGTTATATAGATAAATTTAAAGGGTATCGAGAAAATGACTTTAGCGAAGTTTCATTGAAATCGGTATATTCGTTTTTTAGGCGCTACAGTCTGTAGGAACGTAGGTTTTTCTGCATTTTTATTTTTTTCTCCTTTATTAATTTATCGAATTCTTTCAAAAGTTATATGTAGCATTTTTTCGTAACTCTGAATAATCCGAAATGGTTAACTTTTTAAAATAAACCATATTAAAGGTACTTTAGAGGAAGACATATATGAACATTGGGCATTCAAGCCCTGTAAAGTGACATCAACGGGGATAAGACCTAAATGATATTAAAGACCACTTAATTATACAATGATATACCGAGTTTGATCAAAATCGTTAGAGTCGTTTTTGAGAAATTGTTTCAGCGTTCATATAAAGTGGCACTTCCGGTTAGCCGATTTTAACGAAAAAGTTTTTGTCACATCTGGCCCATATAGAAACCTTAAATACTTAATATCAGTTTCGTACTACTTTTCATTTATGAGCTAGACTGTTAACACACACACACAGACCATTTTGCGACACTTAGTTATTTGAACTCAGGGGACCTCAAAACATGTATTTCCGTCGAAAACTGAGATTCCAAAATTTTCACGATCGAAATACATATCCTTACTATATATTATATATATACGTAAGTGAAAGTAAAAATAAGACCAAGGAATATAAAATAAATCTCTCCTGTCTTAATATTATATTTGCTTTCTATATATTGCCATTTATTCAGTATATTTCCGATAAATAATTAATAAATTAATTCTAATCTCATCCTTAGAAACGCATGATAAAATACATAACATATGTAAGGCCCGGGATATGCGACATTAACACATTACACTACACAAACACTGACACTGACACAGACATACACAACACAAAACCGACATCTTCAACACCAAATAAGAACCCACAATGTCTAATGGCAATCAAAAGAAGAAGAGTTACGAAGAGCTCAAGAGGAAAATGTGTGAAATAAACAGGTATGGCCTTTTATTTATATTTTGTTAATGGCCGTTGATTACTACAACTTTCACAATAAATTAATAATGCGATACCAATCATAACCGAATGCTTTTAAATATTGTTTCTGGATATTGCGAAATCCATCATAAGTAGAAACAAAATTCTTTAATCAAGTATTCAGAGAAGAATAAATTACAAATTTGTTTAGGTTATCTTTTTCAATTTCATTTATCAAAAATATATTTAATATTAAACTGTCATATCCTTAGTTCTACTCAATGCTATCTGGTTCCTTCAGAGAAAACTCTTATAATTTCAATAAAAGAAATTTTAACTTTATTTTAATTCCAGCGTTTCCATGGAAACATTAAAAGAAACAACCGATCGATATTGTCATTAATGAAAAATGAAAAAAATAAATAAATGAAATAATTATGAAATTCGGATTGTTGATTTTTAAAGAATTTGGTATCTGCAATCAGTAGATTTAAATTTCTACTAAAATTTTAATAAAAGTCATTGAAAAAAGTAGGTGGCTTTAAAATTACAACCTTAGTAAATCGATGGATCGAGATGGGACATTACGTTTAAAAGATTTCGACGGGCATCAAGTTACCGAAGTTGATAAGTAGTCCAGTCAATTAATGCTCGAAAAGAGGGTATAGAAGGATATGGCAGGGACGCAATTTTTGACTTCGGTACATTGTTTGGACTATTAAACATACTAAAAGTCCCCACTCCTATGTGCGATGCGCCTAGGTCACTTTTTTCCACTTTTCACGTATTTCAGGAAAACTATCCATCGCATCGACAAAGGCAAAAAAAAAAATGTATGATATACGTTTTTATATTCCTCTAACTCTCTATACATCTAAATCTCTACGTAAATACTCGTATATACATAAAAATATAACAAGGACTGATATAAAAACTATTTTTTATTCTGATAATTCTTGAAATTGACATATAAAGTTATAATTCATTTAATTTTTGAACCGTTTGAGATAAACTAGTAAAATAATATATATTCTTGAAGAAATTTTAATTATTAAAAACTTTCTTTAATTATTCGTAGAACGAATCAATCAAGAGTTACGAGTTAAGAGTCAACTAACTCTTCGTTCTAAACGAAGCTAGTCAAATACAGGAAGTAAACATTTTTTTTTCCAAATTTGCGATAGTTGAGGACGGATATCTGGGAACTATAGCAGGTAGCGAAAAAAGGTTAATAATAAGTCATATTACAAATTTTATCAGCTTTAATTTAGTATATAACGTCTTTGTTGATTCAATGGGTAGTTTTCCTGATATAAGCGAAAACTCGAAAAAAATTATCTTCAAGCCACCCCCTCCCCCACATCTGGCTCACCACCTAGGAGTGGGGACTCTTAGTATGTTTCCCTCCTTACTTGTCCAAACAATATACTAGAGTCAAAAATTATGTCCCCGCCATTTCCTTTTATAATCGTTCATTGACTGGACTAAAGGAAATTATTATTGTAAAATGTATCGTTTTCGAGATTAACCGTAATTTATTCTGAAAGCCACCTAGGTACCATGTTGCCTTGGCATACTCATCATCTTTTGTTTAGATTTTTATAAATTATAATATTGCTATGTATTACCTGTAGCTAAGACAAACTAACCTATTGAAAAGGCATACGAACAAGAATAGTCCAGAGATCCATAAGGAACCTGAGATAGCATTGTGTAAATCCGTGGCAGACAACCTCAGGCGGATTTACGGGGGGCTTTCGGGCTGAAGCCCCCCCCCCCCAAAACGGTAAAATATAACCATGTTTAATAGAAAAAAATATCAAAAACTATCTCTTAAAGTATTATTGTTCGTGTAATTCCATTTAAAAGGACTTTAGGAATCACTTAAACACCATTTCATATAGGTAGTTAGTTCCTTTATTTTTTTTCAAATTAATTATCGTTATATATATGAAAAAAAAATCTTTCGGTCTGAAGCCCCCCAAAAAAAATTAAATCCTGGATCTGCTAGTGTAGACAACAGTCTTAACCAACCTAGATCGACTATTTACGAACATTTGCAGCAGATTTGGAAACCACCATATGCAACTTATTGCTTCAACGGTATAATTCATAAGCGTTTTTTTTATTGCTTCATCACCGGGGATAATTCAAAACGCAAAAGGCAGTGGCTCTCTCGAAAGAAATCGACTCGAAGTCCTGCTAAGCCAGGTTTACAACATAAAAGGCCCTTTTGTGTGTTTGGTGAAGAATTCCAGGCGTTGCTCATTTTGCTGAAACTTGGACAAACTGTGAATGCAAAACTTTATTGTGAACAATTGGTTCGTGTAAACCAATCTTTAATTAAAAAGTGGCCAGCGATTGTCTACAGAAAAGGCGTTATTCTGCAACAAGAAAAAGCAAGATCGCACTAAGTCAGACGAACACTGGAAAAATTTAATGAATTGGGGTGGAAGGTGCTGAAATTTATTCTTATCGATCCTAAATTTAAAATGTTCCCACTAGTTGGCAAAAGGTTATTGATAATGATGGTAATTCCATCAATGACAAAAAATAAAATCTGTGGTGAAATTTAGGTGTTGGAATACAACGTAAGAAAACGACATTTCTTTAAGGTCCCCCTAATATTTGTATCTATCTTCATGAATGCCCGAGATATGAAAATATTAAATCGATAGTCGGCTATCATTTGTAAATAAAGAAATAATGGATGGTAATGTCGAATTCGGAACTATTCATTATTCATAGATACTTAGATTGAACTTTAATCGATTTAGTTAATATAGATCGAATTGAATATTTATCTTTCTTTGACACCGAGGTTAAAATATTGTTTGTTATAAATGGAAGTTGCTTTCCCTCTTTGTGACCAGACAGCTGATGATGGTGACGAAGTGGTTTCACATCAAGGCCGTAAAACAAGGACCATGAAAGTTGTCCCTGGCTGTCCCACAGCTCTCTAAACTGGACTTCTATCATTTTAGTTTGGATAACGATTTATTTCATTGTAAACAAACCGTTGTTTTTTTCTGGGTTACAAGAACAATGATAACGTATGCAGTTTTTTTATTTCGAAATTTTCGTGAGTGGAAAAGAAAAAAAACATGAGCTAAAATAATTATTTCTACCATTTTTTTTCTAATCTAATAAAACCTCGATCATATTAAAACGAAACTTATTTGTTACAAAATATGTTACTACATATTGTATCGAAAGCAATTTTTTATTTTAAAACTAAACATAATTTTTCATATACTATTTTACATAGTAACTATTGAAAATATTAATCCATTTTTTTAAAATTTAGTGAATAAACATTCTTAAAAAAAAAAAACATTAAAAATAATCGTACAGTTTTACCAATAAGTATATGTTATTATTCAACGTTGAATTTTGTTAAAACTAAGGAAAAAAGTAGCTTAAAATATTAATTTAGTTTCTTTGTGAAATGCAAAAAATTAAATCTTTCTTCTGAGGTAAATATTATATTAATTATATAATATATTTAATAGTTTAACGATTTGGGGTTCAACCCCATCTTCATGAATATTATTTTTTCTATTGTTCCTAAATATTCTCATATATGTGTCATCCATAATATTTATGTCATCATTTTTCTAATATTTTTTTACATCTATTCTGTTCAGGAACATCCTAATCAGGGTAATAATGCAAGTAAGATTAAGATGTTCCTCAATAAAACGAAAGATGTAAAAAGAAATTGGAAAAATGACGAAATAAAAAAATATGGATGACACATACATGACAATATTTAGGAATAATAAAAAAGATGGGGCAGAGTTCCGAAACGTTAAATATATAAGAAGCACATATAAGCAATAAAATATTTATCTTAGATAGGAGATTTGATTTTTTCGCTTACTTTAAAGAACCTGTACAGAGTGATTTACAAAAAAATAATAATTATATTTACTGTAATATATAAATTAAAATATTTAACTTTAAAGTCCTCCCATGTAAAGAAAAGTGTTCGAAATTTTACTAATAAATATAATAAATTATTTAATTGTTTAATATGTATAAATAAATTATATTAACTAAGAAAAAAGAATCAGCACATCAAGTTTTATTTTTTTAATTTTATTTGTTGACTGGTTCGACCAGTTAAAACCAAGCCTGCAAGTTGTGGAACTATATCTTTCTGTAGCGAATCCATTTTCTGATATTGTAAAGATCGTTCCAATATGGATTTTATCAAATTCAATTAAATTCTTTTGCTTAGTAGAGCGAGTGTTTTTTTTTTTTTTTTTGGCTTTTTGACACGACTACACTTCAAAAACGGTTTCTTTCCATGCTTTTACTCTCGAACGATAAACCGCAGATCTTGAAATATAGAAAATTATTTAATTGCAGTTGATGATAAAGTGACACTACGTAACTGCCAATTTTTTTTTTTTTTTTTTTTTTTTTTTTAGCAAAGATCAAAGTATCGATAGTAGGAGAAGGAAACATTTATACACATGACCAAATGCGATTTTTCGTTGTTTTTTTTTTTTTTTTTTGTTTGATTATGAGAATTTAACATAGCTTCATATGTAATTAGAAATTATTTGATTGCTAATTCACTGAAATAAAATAATTATTATAATCCCCCGACTACTTTCTGCTCAATGATGGGATTGCAATAATTAAAAAAATATTTGCGTCATCATTCAGCTCACCTATAATTTGTGTAGGACAGCACGAGCTTAGCATTGATAGGACACGACACCTCCTACGTGACCTAGAAATAAATAAAACGTTAATAGAAATTCGATTCGAGTTGTTAAATATCGGAAAACTTATAAAAAATTATTTTTTCCACGCTTTTTCAAACTGAAATTGAAGCTACCCATTATCTCATATAATATAATATATATATATTTAGCAATAGACTTTCTCTCTAAGAAAGTACAGGGGTCCAATCTCTTCAAAACCGATTATAAAATAAAAATACTTATCGATTCAACCTTGATAGAAATGATTCTAAGACGTAAAAATAGAGAGAATTTGTTTTAAATGTATGCGCGATGGTAAAGGAATAGATAACTATAAAAAAGCAGCTTACGTCTTTCAACATAATAATAAAAGAAACTTTTGTTAAGGCGACCTTGAATTTTAAAATAACCAAAATGCGAATTATTATACCTTGAGGAAGAACCGTTGACGTTTTTTACATCGTTAATCCTCTAGGTCTGTATAATAGAGGAAATAAATCAATATGAGGAAATTTTGAATGCAGCGCTGGGGCCTTAGATATTTGGCGCCCTCGGACAATGTTATCTCCTCCCCCCTCCAAAAAAAATTTAATTTATCTCTTAAGCTCTTTTATATTTAGTAATGTAGGTCGGTCTTGATAAACCGAACTCGTAGTATTCCGAAAGCACTGGTAGTCCGAACAAGAAAGAAAATAAAGTTGACTCATGAATAGTGTTGAACAAAATCGGTCTTGGTCTTGCACTTTGCGTGACCACGAACAAGACCGCCTGACTGTTGGAAGACCAAGACCACGACTGGTAAAATAAACTCGTTTTTGTGAATAAAAATTAAGGCAAAATAGTTACTAATACTTGACAATTTTAGTTACTATATGTAAACAATTGGTATGACCAATATATTTTTGTATTTAACTCTTCCAATTTTTCATTCGGGTTTAGTGAGGTCTCCCTTGTCTAAACAATTACAGTCGTATCTCTTCTATAGTAATAAGCTAATAGGTAACTGCAAGACTGTTGCGAGACCAAGACTGAGTGGGCAACACTGCACATGAGAGACGAAATGAGAATGGCTCTGTTCCTTAGTACATATTATTCAAAATTCTTTGTGTGGTAGTGTCGAATAATATATTATGGTGTCTGTAAATGAAAAAGTGGGTCGAAACGTCGGCAAAAATTAAAATAATTTATATATTTTAATTTTTTTTATTTATTTGACCGCACCCTCGACTACCTCCTTCTCATATCATATTAACGGTCAACCATCTCTACATCATTATGAATCTCTTTATACTTCATTTTTACTCCAGATATCAGGAGGGTGTCCAATTTTCGGAGATATATTAACTCGGGGGATCCGCAACTAATTTGTCCCGCAGACCATGGATTGTGAAAAAAAGTTTGTTCTATAACTTATACTTCAGTTGTGATATGAGCTTTCTATGAGAAAAAAACTCATTAAAAAAAAAATGTAGCAACCTCGTGTTTAAGTGATTTAAATAAACTTTATATATTTTTAAATTTTACCATGTAATCAAAGTAGCTTTGCGTGGTGCTGGCGGGACGGATCCGACGGTTCGTTGCTTCGATACTCCTGTATTAGCTGAAAAGTCAAGGACGACAAAGCAGATGTTTAATACCAATAGGTTGGCTTGATAATTTCAAAAGCAGGCATGGAATATGTATTAATTTTTATTTCACAAAAGTCTTTACAGCCATTTTATTTTCATTATAGATAAGTCATAGAAACGCCATAAAGACATTTAATACTAGATTACAGTTGGCGAATGAAAACAATATAAACAGACAAACAGACTACCAAATTCTGGAAATTTTAAGGAATTTGGGAGATAAGGCATTTTCTGTAGCAACAAATCATACTGAACTCACATTTATATGATAATTATCAGATTTTTTTTTTTTTTGCAATATATTTATATTTAATTGATAATATATATATTTTCGTTATCATTTTAAATTTAACCTTTGATAATCCAAACCGGCCAAGCAATCTACTTGTTCAGATTATCAAAACCGTCCTTTACTTGAATTTTATTTTAGTCAACGTGTATCTGATTCAGTTGTTTTGTTAATAAGCTAAAACTAATTATTAAAAATAGTATTAATTTAAAAAAAAAAACTATGAAGGGTTCAGAACTTTCATACAGAATACTTGATAATAAATAAAGGACAAGCTTTGAAAGGTTAGCGCTAATTTCATCGCTGGAATCCACCAAATGATCGAATGGGCATGTTTTTACACTCAGCTCTATCCCATCGATGCATCAACCGAATGAATCCAGCAGCAATTGACATCGATTTACGCAAAGTTTAGACACAACCTGCTGGAATTAAAACCAGTGATATTTATACAATTATAGATAGAAAATAATGTGAAAGGAAAACGTTAAGAAGACCCGCATGAACATTTTACGATTTAACAGCTTGTGATTTACCAGACTTGTGAACTTTAATCGTTCATTACGAAAACAATGACAATAATAAACGGTACTTCTGAGTTAGGCGATTGCCACGGACTGCTATCCGTCATTGTTTATCTAATAAACAATAATTATAATAGATTTTATAAATTAACGTTTAGGATTATCGAATCCCTGCTAGAGGCGTTGCCACCATGTAAACACCTCTTCACCATAGAAACAATCTACAAGAACTAGAAACAATTGTTGAGTTATAAATTGCTGAGCACTAAATATAAAATGTTTTATTTTCCTCTGGTCAGTGCCCTTGAAGATGCTAGATGAGACATCCACTTGTTGCGTGTTCAATTCAATTTGACCCGAGCGTCATTTAAAAGTTGAAAGAACTTTTAATACGGGAGCATTGTGTCATGAAGTACGGACGGATCTACGGGGGGCTTTCGGGCTGAAGCCCTCCTCCAAAAAATGGTAAAATATTACCCTGTCTTAAGAAAAAAAAATACTCTAAAAGTATTATTGTTTGTGTAATTACATTTAATAGGACTTCAAGAATCACTTAAACACCTTTTGGTGTAGGTAGTTAGTTTCTTTCCTTTTTTTTTTCCTAAGTAATTATCGTAATATTTAAAAAAAAAAATCTTTCAGGTTAAAGCCCCCCTCCAAAATGAAATCCTGGATCCGCTAATGTCATGAAGAACTTATTACAATGAATTTATGCAATTTTCACAAAAATTTGGTAGTCCCGTTTAATAAAATCAATGAAATTTAAATATTATAAGGACAGTCAACGGATTAGTTTGAAAAATGTATTCTCTATTTACACTAGCGGATCCAGGATTTAATTTTGGGGGGGAGCTTCAGCCCGAAGGATTTTTTTTTCATATATATAACAATAATTAATTTGAAAAAAAAAGAAAGAAAGAAACTAACTACCCATATAGCATTGTGTCTTAGTGATTCTTGAAGTGCTATTAAATATAATTACACGAACAATAATAGTTTAAGAGATAGTTTGTAATATTTTTTCTGTAAAACATGGTTATATTTTACCATTTTGGGTGGGCTTCAGCCCGAAAGACATTATAATATTTAATAATGTTCATAAATTGGATTATTTATATTTGAAAAATCGAAATTTCAACTTAAATCATACAAGTTAAAATTAATAGATATTTGATTATGAGTTGTTTCTTTCAATGTTAAAATAAGAGCTATTTAAAAAAAAAAATTTATATCTTACCATTGTAGATATAAAAATACTAACTAATAATTCTATTGTGTATATTTTATTCCATTGTTGTAAATCTATTGAATTACAGGGATTATTCACCGATGCCTCTTCCTTACCCCAAACTAGCCATGAGATCAGAATGCTGCAATTGTAACAACACTACTGTTAACCAACTTAGAGTGGGAGAACCTCTTCCAACATCCCATGTTGATCATTGCACAGGATACGTCCATTTTCCAAAACCGAACGTTAGTCAGGCCAAGAAAGGATGCAAATGCGGCAAACAAGAACAATGCACTAGATAAACGTTGTAGGGGAGTTTTTACAAACACAATATAAGAAACATAAAATACTATAACAAGTAAAAACCTCATTCACTAAAATTGCTGAGTTTTTTTTTTTTATCGCTATTATTTCACTAGACTCAAATTGCTAGTCATTTAGTTAAATAAACTTGTAAGTTTTTTTTAGTAATATGATTAGATTTTAATTGGCATGGACCGATACATGATGAATATTTAATGTGGTTTTTTTTTTTTAATATATCAGAATCATAATACTAGTAATTTATTCCAAACCTAATGTAATATAATCTTAATCATTTAAAAATATATAGAAATAATTTTTAAAATTACATAATCTTCAAATAATATTAAATTGAATTTATTATACTATACAGGAAGATTTAATAATTTGATGAAAAACAAATTGTTTTTAGAAATTAATCTCTCTCCATCAGTGATATTAAAAGCACCAAAATATTTAGATGAAAATTGAAAGTTATACATTATCAATCCATTTCATATATATATATATATATATATATATATATATATATATATATATATATATATATATATATATATATATATATATATATATATAAAATAATTGATTAGCTATTCAATGTTAATAATTAAATATCCTAAACTATTTTTAAAAGCTTTGATGGTTCATCTGTCACCTTTTTTCTGCATCAGAAATCAAGCAGGAAAACTGAAAAAAACAAACAAGTTCTAGCTGTGAAATATACATATCAACAATTTTATTTGCGAATAAAGTTATTGATAATTTTGTTATTAAATGTTGAGATTTATATAAAATAAATACAAATGCTACTTCATTATCACATTTTTAGATTTCTATCCTCCATTTGTACTCTGATTTTTATAGACCAAAAAACAACCTATACAACTTAATTATACTTTAAAATTTTCTTCTGCGTATGCCCAGCCCATTTTCATTTATGAACCAAGAATAATTTTTTGTTTAACGATTTTCGAGTGTTTATTTATTTTTTTCTTTTATCCTTGGTCTTGAATGTCCAGAGCCATGCGGCATGAAACAGCTTATCAATATACATCTACTTCAGTCTTTGCTATGGTTCCGGTGAACATCCCATAAATCAGGACAGATGAGTACATGCAAACCTGTCATACAATCTTGTTGATACAGTGGGAATGTTTGTTGCTGATTCAGCAACTCCAACACAGTGGATATGACTCTGAAGACGCAGACTTCATTTAAAACTGTGCAACAGTCTTATTTCTATGAAGATCTATTGGAATTTATCCAGGAATAGAACCCATTGTTTCTCCTTTAACAGCCATTTCTCTTCCCTACTCTCTCAGGAACTATGATTAGATTAAATTATTTACAATCAAGAACAGTTTGCTGACAAGCACTGTAAAAATATTTGTGTTTAAATAAATTAAATTGTAAACTTCTAAAATGTAATACCTTTCTCAATAATTCCTGACAAACATAAACTTTAATCATAAAAGAAGAGGAAGTATCAGATATAGAAATAGAGACAACAGACTAACTTTAATGAAAACATTTGTTGAAGAGTTATATTGAAACATTGAAATGCTTTTTCATTCATAACACAAATTAATAATATTTTAGTGATTTTCTGTTTCAGTTTTACAAAAAAATAAAGAAAATATTTAATATGGGGTCCTCTTAAACTATGCAAAGTATGCTTTTAAAGAATGCAAGATATTTTACAATTATTCAAAATTTTTATTTTGACATCCTACAACTGAAATATTTTCATTGAAATACTACCAATATGTTTCCTGTTCCAGCAGATGACCTCGAATCTGGAATTGATTATGGAAATTTCTCCAAAACACAAAATTTTTTTTTTAATTTCTATAGCTTTGGTATTCTTAAATATTTGTAAACATTACATTATTTGAGAATAGAAACAAGTATTAAGAAGAACAGAAACTTCAATCTTTAAATGTTTGGAACAAGTAAAAAATGCTTTATCAAACAAGAATAAAACTTTTCTCTCATGTTACAATTTTTTTTTTGGTTTATTGATAAATATTACAATCTGTCTCAATAAAGGACATTTATAATAGAGTTCTGAGAGCACATTCACACCATATTTACAAATAAAAAAAAATAAAAAAAATAAGCTAACTTCAAATAATATAAAGCTACAAAAGAACAAAATAAAATATCATAGTGAGAAAAAGAAAAAAAAAAAAAAAGTAATGAAAATAAACATCTTAGACACAGGCATACCTATAATGTTACAATTAAGAAAGAAAAAAAAAAAAAAAAAAAAGCCATCATTTATATTATTATATATATATATATATATGCAGGTATTTATATTTTTAAAGAGATTCTTTGTGATAGTCAATGTATTATACAAAATTAAATAAGCAACCTATTTGAAGCAATAAAATAAAGGAGTATATTGTATGTACAGTGTCCAGCAAAATTTATCAAACACATATTGACTGAAAATGAAAAAATCAATATAAAGAATTCTTCACTACATATTTTTTCTGTTTAAACTTCAATTTTATTAATGTTATCAAAAATATTTGCCTAACAATAAATAAATACATATATTTTAAATAAGATTTTAAGTATAAAACAAGAATTTTAGCACCAAACTCTCCACACACGGAAATGGTTTTGTGTATATGATTATCGAAACGAACATGAAACTCCTCTCTAGAGACCAGATTTAAATCCTATCGAACATTGTTGGGTTCAAGTCGATCCACAGTTCATAAATGAATTTATAAGGTCAGTAAAACTAAATTGTTGGAAGAATGGAGGGAAGAAATACCATCACAATTGAGTCAAAGTTTACCTATATTAATTCCTGAATGACTTAAATGGTATTGAAGCACAAAGGATTTCATCCCGACATTAATTTAAAACTTTTGATTAAAATAAATATATAAATGATTACATAATATGAGTATGTATGGAAACTTAATATGCATTACAATTCTTATTTTATACTTAGTTTTATTTAAAATACATCTATTTATTGTTTGACAATTTTTTTTATAAAATTAATAAAAGAAGTGTTGAAGTTATATTTGTGCATTTAAATAGAAAAAAATGTAGTAAAGAATTGTTTTTATTGATTTTTTTTCTTTTCAACCAATGTATGTATGAAAACTTTTGCTGGCCACTGTATGTTTTAAAATAAAATGATCAATTAAATTAAAATTAATTTCTTAAAATCCCAGAAATAATTTTGTTTCCATGGAAAGTAATAAATTCTTTCTAATCTTAAAAATGTCTAATGTTTAGACTATTCATGACTATAAAGGTCATAATGAAATTTTGATTTCAATAATTACATTTCACGTCTTCTCATGTCATCATCATATTCATTTTTTTACATTTTCTAGATATTTTTTCTATTTTTAATAGTTGTAAATATCATGATAAAAAAAAAAAATGATAAAAAACTACACTTACTGTTACCTGGCTGTTGCAAGATGATTCTTGCCAGTTACTCTTGAATATCAGAATAAGCAATTTCAACCTCCATAGGGTTCATAGATATAAATTTCTAAAATTTAAAATTAAACTTATTAATTAAGTTAGCATTTCTATTACAAGGGGTATGGTTTAGTAAAATGTACAGGTTTTTCAAATGTCACATAATATTTCCTTTCATATCTAGTTTGATAACGATTTTTTTCTGGAATTTCAGCCCTATTTATTATTATTAACTATAAACTTGTCTTAATTTCCACTTATCTCAGTCTGATTTAGAAAATATTGACTATGAAACTCAAATTCACACTTGACTTTCTCTTTTTTAACTACAAAATTTACTTCTAGTCCTGCATTCATTCTGCTACATGCATTTTTTTTTTTTTTTTTGAATTATTATATACTGAAAACAATCAGCTATTATAATGGAGTAAGAAATCATAGATGATCCATAGTAGTGGAATTACTAGGAAAATAAAAAAAAGGAACTGTATCAAATGTCTACTTCTGGTATACAAATGATGACTGAAATATGTAAACAAATATACACGATTCTTTGTAATCCACATTTCACCCCAAAATACTATTGTGCTGAGAAGGAAAAAAAAAGTATCTGTAAGAAACAACAGTATACTAACATATCTATCTTGTATTGTTATATGTAAAATAATTAATATGGTAAGCTTTCCTGAAGTTTAGACATATTAAAACAAGAATTTCAACATAATTGAATCAATTATTTCAGAACTGGAACATGCGCCATTATTTAATGATTTTGAAAACCAGACAAAAAACCATAAAAAATAAATGTTGACAGGAAATATATAGCATAAACAATCAGTCTTCACTAATAAGGTAATATGTTTCTGTAAATTAAAATGTGGTTATGAACAATGTACTCAAAACATGTCTCACACAAAACGGTTAAAATATAATTGTGTTGTTTCTGAAATAATTAACTCAATTATACAAACCAAACTTTTCTTTCTTTAAAAATATAAAAGCGCTGTTGATGAAGATAATTCCAAGAAACATTCATATAATAGACAATATGAAATAAATAGGTTTTTACCATGAGTCATATAAACAATAAAACACTTTAGATAAAAAAATATATATATACCTTTAACAGATACTATTATGAGAAATTCTCAATACCTTCCTTTGGAGGGGAAAATAAAAAAGGCTCAATGCATTCCAGGTTAACCAACCTTTTCAAGTTGGCTATAAAACAAATATAGATATGAAAAAAAATAGTAATAAAAAGTAGTGATCTTTATTTCAAATTTAATTAAACTTTTTTTTCAGCCTTGATTTAAAATTGATAATATATTATCAATGAAAAAATACCATTATAAAAATATACTTTTTTGTATTATTAATTAACTTTATTTCAAGTATTAAAATTGGTTACTTCTTTTAATACCAAGTTACTCATTCCAATACCAATATTGGTTTGTTTTGTTTATTGAATTTTTTATTTTTCTCTCTAAGTTGGGTAAAAGGACAAAAACAATGGACAATGCATTAAAACTAACATATAATTTAAAGTGTTTCTGAATGAAAATTTAGCACATTCATCCAAATAAATGAACTTGCTTTTTAATGTCTCTCACTTTCTATGGCTGAGCAATAATATTGAGCAAGGGCCAATCAACATTCCTGAGATTCTTACTGTAATTATTTTTAATTTTTCATTATATTTGATATACTTAAATGTATTCACACCTCACATTTTCATTTGCAGATAAGGCTTTACCATATTTTCATAAAGATTTAAAGAAAAACAGACTTTCACCCAAGAAAAATGCATATTAGCTTTTCTTGCGTAACATGGTCAATACTAAATTCAAAATTTTAATAACAAAATAAAAATTATTGCTATAAATAACAAAGAGGATTATTCGGATTAGAATGTTATTTAAATAATATAATATAGAAAACACTTTTATTTTTGTTCCTGATCATCTAATAAAATCAAGACAGTACAAAATCTATATTTATTAACAGATATTAAATCTATATTATACAATTTTGAATATACTTTTAGGAGATAGCAAATAAATAATACAAGTAAGTGTATATAGCTGTAATAAAACTACAGCTAACAATATTGAAGTATCTACAAAGTCTATACAGAGCTAATAAAAAAATATTAAATAAAAGGAAAAGTTATTACAAATATTTGTAGTAACTATTAAGTGGTGATTTATATATAACTTGGAACATACTTTCACATAACCTAATAAATGATACAATAAAATATGTAATAATGTTATAGCTTACAACATTTAAATATTGTTTACAATATTTGGAGGTTTATTAAATGACTTATGAGAAAAGAATTAAATAAAAGGATTACAAAGTAACAATAATTATTTGCAAGAACTAGTGAATGGTAAAATATGAAATACAGAAACACTCATATTTTACACAGTAATTAAAAAACTTTCATTTTGTCCTTTGGATAAGAAATGATACAACATATCACAAAAATGATCTAATTACTTTTTCATAGTAGGCATTGGCCCGGGACCAGCCATCATAGGAGGTCTCATAGGACCCATAGGACCGACTGGTCCCATTGGAACCATAGGGCCCATCATAGGAGGTCCAGGTCGCATTCCCATCATCGGCGGCATTGGTCCATGGGGTCCCATCATCATTGGACCCATACCGGGAGGCATTCCAGGGGGTCCCATCATTGGTCCAGGTCCTGGTGGTGGAGGTCTTGGTGCAATTCCATTAGGGCCAATTGGTGGAACTCCAGGAGGAGGTACACCTACACCTACAGTTTTACCTGGAACCGCTATTTTTCCTGCTTTAAATGCAGCAGTAGTAGCATCAATTAGCTGTTGAGCTTGTTCTTCCATCCATTTCTGGTAGTAGAATTTAACATTATCCTTATGTTTTCTTCCCTGGCAGTGGGTCTTCCTCACAGACGGTGAATCATGAGTTAAATAAGTGTCACAATAATCACAATAATACTTAGGCATTTCTACCTGTATCAAATTATTACATATATCACTCTCAGACTGTTTTACTCACAATAATAACAATATTAATAAGAATCAACTCACTCAAACACAAGTATAAACACAAAGCTACTCAAGAGAGGTTATATGGAGGTTCACTGAGAGTCCTTTACTTGTTTAAACGATTGCATATCAATTTTTTGTTTTATGTTTAGATAGCATCTTTATCTCTGATATTATAAACAATATTTACTATCTGTAATTGTAAAAACATTATACTTTTTGTATGTTTTACAAATTTCCATGCTTTAAATTCAACTGCCAACTTTATAACAGTACAAACTGTTTAAAAAATACATTTCTTATTTATTATGTTTTTTAAACAGACTGATTAAAAATTAACATCTTTTAACAAGCAGTTACTTCAATTCATCCATTCTTAGATACAAATATTAAAATTCTAGATTTGTATGAGTACGTCCCATACTCGGGGGGGGGGGATGATGACTGGTGGTCATGCCTGAGTTCCACAACTGATGTTTTTTTTTTAAATTGAATGAAACATACATTTATATAAATTATACGATAACGTTGTAAGACATTGTATTTTTCATAATTTAAAATATAAATTTAGTGCAAACAAAATAATAAATTCGGAGGAACTCAAAATTAATTCCGTAACAGACTCTAAATGATATATGTAGGTACGCCACAAACTGTGGCCGCCTTCTCTCTCTAAAGTTAAAACTAAATGAAAAATTTCAAATACAGATACAATATTAAAAAAAAATAAATTAGCTATTAAAAACAAAAAATCGTATGATAACAAAAAATTAAATAAATAATTTAGTTTACTAACACCTGACCTTTCTCGATCATACTTTGTTTTAGTGTGAAAAACACTAAATTTCCGTTTTAGTTATTTGAGTCATTTAACGTGAAATTTTTAGAGTATTTATTTATATCCATATTAGCTTTTTTATTTCGTATCTGAATATTTTACAGGTATTGATATTGCAATATGTCAGAAAGAAAGAACATTAATAGGCACCTACATAATGAATATAAAATGGTAACAAATTGTTAAATTAAGTTAATTGTTTCAGTAAACTTAATTGAATTTATTTTTAGCTTGTATTAATATTTGCTTACATTTAAATTATTAAATATTAATTAATTACAAAGTGGAATGCTATAAAAATGAGTTAATAAACAACAGTTCAGTGCCCTAAACGATACACCCTAGGATATCATTTCAATACCCTAAACCTCAATAAAATTTAAAGCAGTAAATTAAGATAATTTTAAATCTTGTGATAGCTTATAATGGTCTTTATGATGATAAAAGCCGAAAATGATTTGAGTTTTTGAGATTCAAACTGATAAAATCTGCCTATCTTCATAGAACAATCATTTGGTTTATTTTGTTTATTATAAAAATAAATAAACTATATATAATGATTTGTGGCGTTTTTAATTTAAAAAAAAAATCAATTTTATTTCAAATAGCTCCTTTAAACGGTAAATTCTCTTATAGTACTGAAGAAGAAGTGGCCAAACGTAAAGTAATTATTAGCTTGGTGCCTCAGCCCATATCCGCGCCTGTTGATGAAGAGATGGCATATATTTAGCTTATATTTATTTACTCTCTCTAATATGGTTCACAGGGTAACACGGGCGGATCTACGGGGGGAGGGAGGCTTTCGGGCTGAAGCCCCCCCCCCAAAATGGAAAAATATAACCATGTTTTATGGGGAAAAAAATACCTCTTAAAGTATTATTGTTCGTGTAATTACATTTAAAAGTACTTAAGGAATAACTTAAACACCATCTCATATAGGTAGTTAGTTTCTTTCTGGTTTTCCAAAGGAATTATCGTTATTTTTATGAAAAAAAAGGTTTCGGGCTGAAGCCCCCCCCAAAATTAAATCCTGGATCCGCTAGTGCAGGGTAAATATCTAGTCCACAGTAAATTCCAGCTTCAAAATGTACATTAGTAGGTACATTGGTATGAGCTCTAGCACCATAGGAGAGGATACGCGTAAATATGAGATTAGAGAGGACTTTGTATTCGGCCAACAAGTTCCTCTGTAGTTGGGACTTGCTAGACGATTTACCACCTCCTTGTGCATAGGATAGAAAATCTTTTCCACGCTGAGAGTATTACTTCATTCTCCCACATTGACATACAAATTTCTTTAATGTTGCCCCCTCATCGAAAGAGTTCCATAGTAAGTTTATCTCACACTGGATGGAGCCTTCTGATTATTCAGTTTATTAAAGGTTTTCTCACATTCCACTTCGTGAACTTTCTTAAGTATCCCAAAGTTGACATTTGCATATGACTTTGTTAGTCAGATGTTCTTTCTATGAAGTTTCTCCTCGATTCCGCTAGAAATTCTGACTTTTCACTAAGAGGAATGTAATTACATGAACAATAATACTTTAAGAGATAGTTTTTGATATTTATTTCTATAAAACATGATTATATTTTACCGTTTTTTGGGGGGGAAGGAAGAGAGAGGTGGAACTTCAGCCCGAAAGCTCCCTCTTCCCCTCCCCGTAGATCCGTCTGTGCCTAATGATATATTTGCATACATGCATATATTCACGGGCGGATCTACGGGGGGAGCTTTCGGGCTGAAGCCCCCCAAAATGGAAAAATATAACCATGTTTTATGGGAAAAAAAATTAAAAAATACCTCTTAAAGTATTATTGTTCGTGTAATTACATTTAAAAGTACTTAAGGAATAACTTAAACACCATTTCATATAGGTAGTTAGTTTCTTTCTGTTTTTCCAAAGTAATTATCGTTATTTTTATGAAAAAAAAGGTTTCGGGCTGAAGCCCCCCCCCCAAAATTAAATCCTGGATCCGCTAGTGCATATATTTATTATACATAATTATTTTATGGCAGTATAAAGAGGGTGTACGGACTAGCATGATAGCATAGTACCATAGCATGAACTAGATATATGGGGGCCTGAGTATCACATTTAATAATAAATGATTTTTGACAAAAATTATTTTTGTCTTATCTTTTACAAGATGATTTATGGTCACTATAGTAACAATAATTCTATGTTTTTTAACATATATGCATATATTTCAGATTTTATTCGTTTAACAATACATTAAATTTTTTGTTACTTTTCTACATCCCATATTATTGTACTAATTTACATTTAATATCTTTCGATAACTTTTATAAAACAAAATTAATATTTTAATCGTACATATACTGATTGACAAACGTTTAACAGTTAGCTAAGTTCTTCCGTTGTTTGGTTACGGTCGTCAAAACAAACGGCTTCTTCACTTTCAAATGTGAAATGTCGGATTTTATTAAAAGTGAGGGTATTATTGATGGTCTTTCTCTGTCAGATGTTTCAGATGTCGATCCTAATGAATTAGAACAAATATTACAAGTTAGATTTCTTTGCAAATAATTGTAATCCTAATGTTTCCGGTTTCTTAGTTTTTTCTTTCTCAAATTCATATATTTCAGTGTCAGGCGTTCTAACTTTTATCCAGTTTAAGCCTCTATTATTCTGGTTTGCTATATTAGTGTAAACCTTTTGTTCTAGAGTGCCAGTGAACTAGATAAAAAATACAGCATTGGAGATTCTGAGGGGAAAATATCAGGCCTTAAGGTAAATTAACCATCTTATTAATCATTTAATTAAACATTAGAAAAGGGAGTATATTAAGCTCATTACTATAGTTGCTCATTCTTTCAGAGTCCCAGCAAAAAACAATTAAACAATAAAGAAGGTAATGGATATAGCTTATGAATATTGTATATTAAAGTTGTGCTCTGGCTTCATTAACTTTGTTTTCTATATTTTAGGTTTGCGGAGATCTAGCAGTAATTTTAAGGAGGATGTAGATTATCCGAGGTTTTTTTATTTCGATCTTTATATTCATTTGACGAGTAATATATGTTTGAAACGAGGTATTATTAAGATTAAAGTATTTGTCTTTAATTTCAGATTTATGCCAGTGTTTAAAGAATTCTCAGGTCCTATGGGTTATGATACTTCAAGGACTGATCTAGAAGCAAAAAAATATGAAAAACGTTCCAAGAACACTGCAGATTGGTTAGGATTGAAAGATTCCCCAGAAAAGCCGCACCCTATTGAGACTATATATCAAAGTAAAATCCGCTTGTCCCCTGAAGCTGAAGCCTCATTAAGAGCTAGAGATAGAACACTACAAAATAATAATAAAATTAAGAAGGAAAAAGAAGTGATTGACACAAATACAGTGTTACCAGCACCTGTCCCTCCAGTCCCTACCATGAAGTCAAGAAACAGAAACAAAGGAATTCTCATGAATGAACTATTTGGTGATGTTAAAATGTCAAATGAAGAACCTACAGTGAAAATTGGATTAGGTAGGTATAAGCATTATAAATAAAAGTGTTTTGATATAACTTGGTTTTAATATGTTGTTATATGATAACAAAAATTTCAAATATTTGAAAATAGGAATTTAATCCCGATTTTGATTTAGTGATCTTTAGGAGTGAAGACGTAATTGATAAATGTCACACTATTTAGAAAAGGTTATAAGTATATGCCTATTTCTCCTAAACTCGATCAATAATTATCTTCTTCATGATTAGTTTTACAAAATTATCAAGCCTAAAAAATTTAATCTATAGTTATATATTTATCTACTTGACAGTCAGTGACCAATTATTATGTTTTAGCACCTTGAGCTAGTCATTAAAACTAGAGAGTTAAAATAGGATAGTAATGCACAAGGGCCTTCTATGGAGCTCATAATTCATTATTTTAATTTTTTTTCTTAATTGATTTTTACAATAAAAGGACTGAAAATATAGTATTACCTAATCACATTAAACTCTTAACATTGTATCAAATGCCACTCCACTAATAGCCGAGCGGGCCATACTATAAACAGCTAAGGATTGATAATGTGTTCACAATGGAAACTCCTTTAATTTAATTAATCTAACTTAATTTAGATTGCTATTTATGACTTGGCAAACTCTCTTTTGGCCCTTTTCAGTTGATCAGCTTCAATTATTGAGTTGGCTAATAAGTCCTTTCAGTTTTTCAGGGTGAAATAAAACTCAATGTATTATAGACATGAAATTTATTTTAATCTACAATATATTGACCATTATTCGATATGGCTTTTTCCCATCTTTCCACTAACTGCATAATGCCATGTTCATAGAATGTCAGGAGTTTATTGTTAAAAAACTGTTCCAAGTGGTTTTTGATGTCCTCTTCCTTTTGGAATTTCTTTCCATTCATGGAGTTTTGCAGAGACCGTAATAAGTGGTAATCACTTGAAGCTAGGCCTGGTGAATAGGGAGGGTGGGGCAAAGATCCCTTCCAAGGCTTATTGCGAGTGACCAATGTGGTGTGGGACCTAGCGTTGTCTTGATGGAACTCGACACCCTTCTGATCATTCATAACTCTTCAGGATGTTCTCCAAATTCGATGTTACTATATCCGTTAGAAAGTTGAATTATTGCTCTTCAAAGTCGTATGGATGTTTTATTGATTTAATGCCTTCATAAGGAATAAATAAACAAAAGCTTCTTACATGTTTTTTATTTTTTATCTCCATTTGTAGTTTGTTTACGGAGATCCTGTTGATGTTCTTTTGTATAGTTTATGTAGCCATAAATTCCTGCTATAATATTTTTAGTGATTTTTGAAAAAAATCATGTGAGGGACCCAAGCATTAAGCGTGGAAACATAGCCGAGCTTGTGCAAATTGTTTTCTACGCTTGTGGCACATTTAGGACCATAGCAATCTCTTGCACTGATTGAGTGGGATTTTTATCAACAATGGCCTTAACATTGCTCGTTTCAATTTCATATTGGTGACCAGACCGTTGAGCATCATTGATGTCAAAATTTCCTGAATGAAATTTTGCAAACCAATTTTGGTAGGTGCGTTTGGATAAGACATCATCTCCATACACTGAACACCATATATGCCAACCCAATACATTGTATATTCTTTTAATGAAGAAAAACTTGACCAATTCATATTAATTTGTTATACATTTGTAAATAAATATATTTTTAATTATATCTGATCTATCTGAGCTATCTCAATATGGATAAGAAACTAATAATAAACTTTAAAATAAAGAAAATTAGAAAGATATTTCTAAAAATGAAATTTGATGAATAAAACAATTCAAATCGTTGGATTTAGTACTTTGTTAGGAAGTACTGTTTCAGGGCAAACAATTGTGCAGAGAAGTGATTGAGCTTTAATCATGCTCAACCGTCATGTTTCCCCCTTAATTAATTATTTAATTAAGAGTACACACTTATTATTAATTAGAAATCATATACTTATTAGTAATTAGAAATTTTAAGTTGTAATAATTGGGCCAAACCGTGCCTATAAACCATATTAAATATGACCAGAACATATTTTTAATAATTTAATGTAAGTAATTTTGTTAATGTTGAGTATAGAACAATTTGAAATTCATATTTAATAAACTAATAAATTATTATTTTAAATATATTAATCCAAAAAGACACAGTAACTCCATTACTGTTCTCTTGGCAGCCACTAGAAACAAAACAGGCTCGACTGGCTGGCCATTGAAACAGCAATGCTCCTGCATGCCAAGCATACTGAAGGGATATATAGGGGGGCCATGATCATATTTGTGGAGTATTTTTTATAAATAACTGTAAGCTACTGTTTTCCTTTTGAAGTAGTAGAAGTTGTATTAAGGCTGCAGTCAATGTTCACACAAATAGAAAATTTTATTTTTTTTATGTGCTGATGTTTCGGATTTAGTTATCAAAAACTTGTTAAAAAGTAAGTATAAAAATGATATAAGATGTTGGAAATATGTAAGAAAATGTTAATGACAAATCAAATATAAACAGTATAAAAAAGATTTTTAAAAAATTGTAAAACTTATAAATGGCACACAAAAGTAATGCTTTTTATATATATGTTTGAATTTTCATAATATTTTACTGCCACCCACTACCAGTTCATATTTAATATTCGACAATATCTTCACCGTTTTGGGTTTTTAAGATTTCGTCACATGTTCATTTTTGTCTGAATCGAAAATTCTGTTTCATTTTCTTTCTATTATTAAACTAATTTCAATGATAATTTTTGAGTTAATTTTTAGTCAACAGAATTATAAAAATAGTGTAGGGTATACATAAAAGAAAAGTACAAGATAAAACATTTATATTTAAAGTTTCATTAAAAGTTTGGAATACCATATACAAAACTTTTTCAGGAATATTTTTCATCAATGTAAGTCCAACTTAATTTTGTAATGCATTAACTCTTCAATGCATGAGCTACTTGAATATTTAATATACATTAGTTCAGATTTTTGATCTGTCGCCATTATTTTTTATTTCTTCTCGACAGCCTTCCCTATTGGTGGAATTTAATAAAAAATTGTTTGTTTAGTCCTCAATTGACAAGCATGAGAGGAGGACCATTATGTATAAGCCTGAGGTAGGAACGAAACCAGTAGCTAAAAAGATCAAAAAAGCTTAGGATGATCTATTATATTAGGCTATATTCCATTTTAAGCTGTGGAAGGAGGAATGCCTACCATCAAATTTTTATATTTTTAATTGTGGGTAAATGGTCGACTGTCATGAATAATGAAGAGAAGAATACTTGGGGTGATCAGTCAAATAAGAAGGCAAAAATAAATGATAATATTTATTTTGACATTTGCCGACGTTTCGACCTGAAGTTCAGGGCTAAGAAAAGACAATTTTTTTTAAAGAATTAGGTATATACTCAAGACTGTAAAGAAGAAATAAAGAATTTAATATATAGGTTGATGGAATAATATTTTTTTTTATTTACTGTTTTTTTTTTAATGTCGCTTCGACTGCCATGGGCATTAGGGGCAATCGTTATTCCTAAATATGATGAATTAATTTTTTCTTTAATAAACTAAAGTTTTTTTTTTATTACCTTGTGTTCTTTGTATGAAATTATGTCTTCGATTGTTAAACAAAATAAAATATACACTTTGTAAATACAGCATTAATAATTTTCTTTTTATTCTCTTTTTTTATTTATTTTTATTAGATCTATTTCATGGACTATTGTCCATACATCAGGTTATCACCTTCTATGGTTATAATGATAACTTGGCAAGGACTTCAAGAACAAGCTCAATAACACGCTGTCTTTGTACATAATTTTTCAAAGATGTTTTTTTTGTTGGTGCACCATATCTTCATTAATTCTTCATCAAATCTAATTATTTAACCATCATTTTGAAGGTTATCTTCTTCAAATGTGGAGAAAAATCCTATCTTCCAGAAAAGTTTAAAAAAAAAATTTTACTCGGGCATAACTCAAAAAGTATACACTTTATGGTTGGTTATTCTAATATGATATAAAGGTTTCTAAATTCCTTGATATATATATATATAAAATCAAAATCGATCTGGTTTTAGCAAATATGCTGTAAATTGTTATTTGTTCACATGTTCTATTGTTTTAAAAGAAAATTTATTCCTTCCTTCCATAATATATTTCCATATCAAACTGCCATTTAGTTCACTGTCCAATATACTATACAAATTTTTAGCTCAGAACAACCAACTAGTTTTAAGTAAACATGCTAAAAGACAATTTTATTTTATTTTTTTTTATTTTTTTTTTTTTTGACGCAATAGACCATGTAGATCTTTGGACATCCATCAAAGGGTTCTTACAGACATATGTTGCTTACAGGAGCACAGGTATTATGAATGGTGTCATCCAACCTCACGCTCTCTTGGCAGACTATCCATAGCTCTCTAGCTAATCCCTTTGGGGCCTGTCTGCCAGTGTCTTTCCCGCTGGGGGAGGAATGGCCAAATGGGCTAACGCGTGTGCACAGCACCACAACTTGCCCGGTAACCAGATAAGAGAAGTTATGAGATTAAAAAAGTACGAGTTCGCATCCTGGTGCTGAAGAAGATTTTAAATTCCCCGCCCTCACCCTCTGGCCCGGGAAAATTCTGTATAGGCTATAAGGCGAAGAATAGCGAAGAACAAAAAAAAAAATGTGTCCTTCCCAATCTGTTTCAATGGCAGAAGCAAATCTAGATCCATGGATTAGGTGTACGAGGACCTTTATTTTTTTCCCTGAAACAGGACGTCCATCAAATATCTGGGTGGTTACTGACCTCCTGGAAAACCACATCACAATTCCCAATGAAAGTATACGAGATTGAAAACATCGTTTTCACACCCAAAAGACTAATATATAAACATTAATAAAGAAAGATGTTACTGAATTTTTCCAAGATCAAAGATTCCCTATTTACTTTCCATTTTCATTTACAAAATTTTTCATTTGTTTAATATCGCTACTATTAGTGCAAAAGGTTGTATGTAACAATTTTCCATATTAATCCTATTTGTGCTGAAGGTGACATTTTGTAGACTGCAACTATGGAAAATATCAGAGAGAAGTAAAATATGAAATTATACTAATAAATCATAAAGAAATAATTCTCTTCTGTAAAAAAAAAAACTCACTTTTTACCTACGTTGAGATCTCCTGTAAATCCTGTGTGCCATGGATTGTGTTAAAAAAAAAGTTTATTCTTTAAATTGCACTTCAGTTGTGTAATGAGTTTTCTAAGAGAAACAACTCGTGCGATAAATGTGTAATCTCGTGTTTGAGTGTATACTAAATTTCTTATTTTTTAAATTTCACTGAAAAACCCTGTACCACTACAACCCATAAAGGGTCGTGGGTTCAGTACTATTTAGGGAAAGAACTGTTTCAAGGCCAACGGCTTGCAGAGAGGGGATCGGGCCAGGATCACACTCAACTGCCAGTTTTTCCCCCTTAATCAACTATTTTATTAAGGATACCCACTTTGTAGAGGCTGGGTCTGCCCCAGGAGGGTCCCCTACCCCAGGGTCACCCTACGGCCAATGAAACAATAAATAATTTTTCTATGAGCCATGAGTCATGATTCGACCCTGGGACCTTGAGCATTGGGAAGCTTAGTGCCTTACCACTGAGCTACAACACTCTCTAAATTTCACTATATAACCAAAGAAACTTTTGTAGACAGTAGTTTGGAGATCCGTGATTTAAACTATTCACTAACTATTGGGATTAATCCTATGTTAAAAATGGTGTTATTATGTTTTTCTTTCTATTGTTTTATTTTATTCAATATCTGCTTTATTTTATTGTAATATGGGTTTAATTATTAAAAAATTACTACTTTCTTACTACTAAATGCATTTTTATAAGTGGGTTTTGTTAAAATAAAGTATTAATTTGAATAAGTTAATTTTGTCGGTAGACCCTCCAGGTGCTACATTGGCTGCTGAAAGTGAAAAGAAATCATTTGACTACACGCCATCAATGACCACTACAAGGAGGAATGATAAGAAAATGGAAACATCCTCTGCATCAAATCCAGGAAGTGGGTACGTTTTTGATCATTTAATTTAAATAATAAATAGTGATTTTACCTTTTAATTTGGTACGCATTAGTTTATATTTAATTTTTATAGATTGGATGGAGATTTTGATTGGCTCACAGGAATCAAATCTTCACCTGCTAAAGAGGCTCCTCGACAGAATATCAGCGACATTGTGAGACCTAAAACAGCTGCCTCCCCAGTTACCTCAACGCCTCAGCCTTTAAAGGCACCTCCTTCTGCTGGGTCAAGTAAGGTTATAGAATATATAACATATAGATTTTAAAGTCTTTGGACAGTCATATTTAAATTGGAAGGAGAAAAAAACTACTATTGTAACATAACTCTTATATTTGACAAATAATAATAATATAACCTCTGAAGGTCACTTTCTACCATTAGGATACTTCCAAATGAAACTAGAGCTTGTTATAATAATAAACAAAATTATGAGAGTATTAATATATTTATTTATCTCAGGTGTGGGTTATTGACAATCAGATCAACTCAGACAAACTGTTATTAACTATACTAAACACTGATTTTAAAATAAAGTCAAATATGGATTGACAAGCTAACCTTTTTTCTACATACAATGTTTCTTCCTTTGTGGCACTGAACTCATTTCTTATGTTCTGCCAAACACATATCACCAAAATGGTAATACTATTCTTCCTCTCAACTCAAGCTCTCTGGGAAATCCTCTCTCTTGCAATTCCAAACAACTATTCTCCCTGCCAAACAAGATCTTCTAAGATGGTAAAACTATTACTGGGTTTTACCCACTGGAGCCAGGATAGGATATCTTCTCTTAACCTCCCTTCACTGCAATCACACAACAACTGCTTGCCAAAACAAAAACCTTTGTCCCTCCTCTTTGGGATTTTCCTTTTTGGGAAATTACAGAGTAGCCATTTTCTTTTCCCTGCACTAGTAGAACTATATTAGCTTGCCTTTTAATTGTTCAACATTAATTTATTAAATCATTTTTACCCACTTCCAATAAAGGTGTATATTACAATATTTATCTATAATTATCATTGTGATAAAAAAATAAATTTAATAATCATAAAACATATTATTGCAGGAGATTAGTCGACTGTTCTACATATCATAATATGTGATAAGTAGTCAGGATGCAGTCATTTTAAGGTTTTTATGGGTGGCGACATTTGAACCCAAACTTGTGGGTCATCATCAGGACATGTTTTGGTAGGTAAGTGACACTTACCTACCTAAGTGCCAGTATTTGAACACCTTCAGTGCTCGAAACACGTCCTGATGATGGACCTACATGCTTAGGTTGAAACGTTGGAATTAATAAAAACCTTTAAAATGACTGTGTTCTGACTATTTATGTGTTCCGACAATTCCTATAAAACATATTATTAAAATAATATTTAATATTCCCTCCTTTATATCTTTGATATCTCAGAAATTTAACTTAAACTCTAGATTAAATTGGATGCATAATCATGAGGATTTTTTTCCCTTTTAGTACTCTCCATAGGTCTCCTTAGAGAATTTTGATGCCATTTGATTCTTTTTCTATCAAGTGATTTCCACAAATGTTCTATAAGATTTAAGTCAAAACAATTGCACCTATTCCATACATTTTAACTTTTTTTTTCCCATTTATCACCCTCCCTAATCATTTCTGGCATACAGGAGGATTGTTCTAGAGGTACAACCAAAGATGTTCCAACCAGAATGGGAAAGTTGAGATTCATACCATGGTTCTGCCACAAAATAAATTTCAACTAACCCAGGCCAGAGTTGAATCGGTGCCGCTAGACTTAAGAATATTAAAGTGGTAAATGCTTTAAAACCAGGGAGCGGAGCGGAGTAGCTGAGTTGGTGTGCACTGACTTCCAGAGCTCAAGGTCCCGAGTTCGAGTCCCGGCTGATGACTAGTAATTTTTCATCAGCTGTGGGGCTAGGAGATCCTCCTGAGGGAAACCCAGCCTCTATGAAGTGGGTAGAATAGAATAGAATAGAATAGAAAAATCATCTTTATTCTGGGACTAGGTCCCTTTAGAATAACAGTATTGTTCATGTAAATTAACCATAAATCTGGCCAAAAGACTTATTACAATGAATAATAACAAAATACTAGTAATAAATTAAGTATTAATTAAACTCTTAGGATAAATTAACGAGAACAGTTGGGTAATAGGGGTTCAGTACTACAATATTGGATCTAAAACAATAGCATAATAATCATTGAATGAAATTAGGAAGGAACGCAAAATCAATTTTATAGGCAAAGCATTGTAGTGATGGAATATAAAAATTAAAAAATAATAATAACTGTTAATATGTAAGGAAAGAAATTGTAAAAACAAAAAAAAAAAGTGATATGCATACATTCCCTAAGATATTTAAGTGATTATGCGTAAAGATTAGGCGAAGAAAAAATAAAATAAAGTATACATATATGTACATATAGCGAGGAGTGTGTTGAAGATAATTAGAAAATAAAATACATTTCAACGAAATACAATTTCTTGAATAAAAAAATTAGAAATTAAGAAAAACAAATTTTATCTACTCACAATGCTTAGTGAGTGGTGATGAAAATTCACGTTCAACACAGAATAAAACAATAAAAAATAAGAGAGAAAAAAATGTTTAAAGAAAATTAAAGTCTTATTACATAGTATGGATTTAACCAACGTCTGATTGGATTGTGAAGAGGAATTGGAATAAGAGGGTTTTAAAGGTGGATAAGGATGATGCATGGCAGATTTTTAGTGGGATGGAATTCCAGAATGCAGTGGAACAGACAACGAAGGAATGTGTAAATGATGCAGATCTGTGGAAAGGGGTATAAAGGACGAGATCTTGTGGATAGATGATTTGAATTGTAGGAGATTGTATGCGTAGGATGGACGATGACTATTGATTATTTGGTAAAGGAATGTGCCTAGGAAATATTGTCTTCGGAAGGAAGGGAAGAGCCATCCTAATTCAGCATAGTGGTGCAAAACACGGGAATACCTCAGGGTCCCTGTGACAAATCTTACGAAGGCATTCATAGTTCTTTTCTGGGTACTCTTAATTAGATAATTATTTAAGAGGAAAAACCTGGCGATGGAGCGTGATATTAGTCCAATTACCTCCCTGCACAACCATTCGCCTTGTAACAGTACATTTCCACATTGTACTGAACCCAAGACCTTTCATGGGTTGTTAGTGATACAGGAAATGCTTTAAAAAGCTCGGCCATCATGGCATGACCTCCCATTCATCCCATACTGTTTTTTTCATATACTCTTTTATGATTCTGGCTGTGTGTTTTGGATCACTATCAATCTGGAAAATAAATCCTGGCCTTTCAATCTCAACCAATATTATATTTTTAAATGTCCATTTTCCCTTCTATTTTTATAAAATCTCTTATTCTAGAACCAAGAACTTAATAACAAAACATAGTTGGTTCTCCCCCATACTTTGTTGTTAGGTATAAGCAATCATCCAATATTTTTCTTGCCTTCACATATTGAATCAAGCCAATATATTCTTCAAAATTGGTTAAAGAACTAAACATTTAGACTGGTAGCGAAGACTTGAAGAAAATGTCATGGACAAATGTAAATTCTGTCTTATGTAGAATTATTGGTAAAAAATCAGCAGAGGGTCAAATGAGTGGGAAATTGTAAGAATAAGTCTACAGTATAATCTAATTATTTTGAATTAATGTTGTTATTTTTTGTTTTATTTCATAAAAAGAACCCAAAGAAAGTAAAATACCTGATTGGCTCGATGAATTGGTCAAGGATTCTTCTCAACAGAAGAAGGAATTGTCTGCTGCAGAAGGTATATCATATCAATCTCTTTTTTTAATTATTAAATTACACTACTTGGAACAAAGTTTTATAATTGTAAAGTTTTTTAAAAGTTATGGCATGCTAATTTTAAACCTCATTTTAGTTTTATGGAGTTGAGCTTTGAAGCTTCACTAAACCATCAAATTCCTCTCGCATCCGATCCTTATAATCCAAAATTCTCAATGGCTCTTACTTTACCACAACTAAAATTATCTATAATAACCTCAATGTTCGATATGTTGTCGATTTAGCCCAATCCAGATATCTTTACTTCCTTAATAAACTTCAGAACCATCTTAACTTTCTCGTTTCTAACTTTGTATTTTTATTTTAATACAATTGTAAATATTATGACTAAAATAAAAAAATACAAACAAAATAAGCATTATAGCCAAACTGAAGTTGGTATTTTTAATAGATGACTCTAAGAAGTTTCCTGATTGGCTTAAAGGAAATTCTTCAGATCCTCAACAAGACCAGCCTCAGGAAAGGCCAGAGGAACATCAAGCTAAGAATGTTAAGATCTCTTCTGGAGGTTTGCCGATTTTTTAAAGTATAGTTTAGGGAATTAATAATTTAAATTCATATTTGAGCCTAAACTTAATTTCTCTCAAAATGAGATATAATCTATTTTCATCCGAATATTTGTTCTTTAAGATTAAATTTAAGAAGTTATGATTATGAAAATGAATTGTTAAAATAAAGTTATATAATTATAATAATTCCTTCACAAATGATTAGCACCTTTACTTTCTGTTCTTTTATACACCATTTATTTCCCAGTGCCTTGATAGCGCATTCGTGAGCCTTGCGATTCTATATACTGTCATGTTTAAAGTAAATTATAAAACTTTAAGTTAATTAAAAAAATTCAAACAATAATAAAATTTTGTTAGTGCTCTGCTCTGTAAGCACATAAAGAAATAAAAAAAAGATAGAAAGTACAAACATTTTACTAGTAATTTTTTATTTAAAAATAAAAAAAATACTTTTCCTCTATGTGCCTATAATTTTCATCCTTTCAAGTCGCCATACATTGATTCAGCAAAGTGATTTATTTAAAAATATTATTAGGAATGTTACTAACTTCTATGGATCCATGTCGTTTAACTTAAACAATTGCAAATTTCATTTTTGGTCAACTTCTAACCGCTTACTAATTGATTCTGGGTTTGAAATGAAATGAAAATAGATTTTTATTTTCCTGGGACTTTTATCCCTTTAGGACAAATTATAGATACAGAGGAAATGCCTGTGTGGCCATAAAATTAAATTAAATATTTACAATGGTCATTAAAATAAAAATATTGGAAGAAAAATAAAACAAAACCACTAAATATATACAGATATATACAATACAAACATGTGAAACTAAAATAACACAATTAAACAAAACCATTTCTGGGGGAACTTAAAAAGTTCTCTTATCTACTTTTCATGATCAATCGGGTTGGGAAAGAAGTAGGTGTTTAAAAAGGAGATGTCAGATATCGGGAGGGATGGTATTCCAAGTGGAAACAATGGGTTTATGATGATCCTTCTGATTTCTCTCCACAAGGTTCACTGACCTCTATCCATATTGTCAACCATTAAATAAAATATTATCTCTATTCAGTTTTTGCCAGGAAATTTTTTTCCATTCATATCACTACCCCAATCTTACTCTTAGTGACATTAATTTTTTTTTCTTTGCCTGGAAAGTTTTTGGTTTTACTGATGTAGTTGGCCAATATCCTTATGAATTATATATATATATTTTTTTTTAACATTTCAAAAAATTTTCTTTCCATCATTAGAAACATACAATGAAAAAATGAGCACAGAAAAAACAAAATGAACAAGCAATTACGGAAAGAACATTTCTTGAAATGTTAAACAGAATGTAACAAAAAAATAAATTGTAATCATTACGAATTTATATTGGTCATATATACCAGTAATCTGTGACAAAACTACTTAGTTCGCGCCTCTTGTCCCGAAACTTAAAAATTAGAATCTATAAAACAATTATCTTACCTACAGTTCTTTATGGATGCGAAACTTGGCCGCTTACATTAAGGGATGAGCAGCGTCTTAAGGTTTTTGAAAATAAAGTATTGCGTAGAATATTCGGACCGAAAAAGGATGAGTTAACTGGAGAGTTCAGACGGTTACACAACTCCGAATTGCGTGAGATGTATCCGGGTAATATAATTGAGGTAATTTCATCGCGGCGAATCAAATGGGCTTGTAAAGTTGTTGGGCTTAGTAACGAGAGAATTCCTAAAAGGTTAATATTTGCTGTGCCGAATGGTAAGCGTCCGAGGGGTAGACCGAAGCGAAGATGGGAAGATTGCATTAAAGCCGATCTGAAGGGACTGGGTTTGGATGGCGAACGGTGGAGGGAGGTGTGTAACAAGCGATTGGTGGTGTCGGCATCGAACCTTTGGGTTCGCTAAGCCTTATTATTATTATATACCAGTAAATTGTTTGTAAAATTGAAGGAGCATATAGCTAGCAGATTTGATGATTTATCGACAGTCACACTGCAAAAATCTGTTAGGACAATTTTATTGGAAAATGGGATTTTGAGGTTTTCTGATCAATCTAAGCCTGGCTCATATTCGGACCTCATAAAATGAAACCTACAATGTCTATGCCATTTTGTAAAAACCTGCAAATTATGAAGTAAAAATCTGTAAGTTACTGAGGAGGTTTTAGAGATTGTGTCATTATTGGTATCGATTTATTTATAAAGTGTTTTGCACATAGACTAGAGTATCAGAACTGATCATTGGATTGGGTCATTTAACAAAATAATTATCACCAGGGATTGTGGTAAACAATAGATTAGTAAGTGGGATTATAATGTTGAACAACCTTCAAATCAATTGAAACCTCCAGGTAACTGCAAATTAGCTTGGCAGAAAAAAAGCTACATTGCTGCTGAATTCCAGAAAATGAGAGACAGAATTAATTTCATTAATTCTAACAGATAATATAATGTTCATAGAATGAACATTTTTAGTTATTGTTTTTTTCAGTAAATCTGTCGATGTGAAGATTAGATTTATTTATTTACCATTAATTTAATATTAAAATTAACTTTCGTAAATTTATTGAATATAAGCTGTTCAGAACAGGTAAATGAAGTTGATAGCAACATCATGTCTAAGCTGGCAAGTGTACAAATGGAGCTCGTCGCTGCTATGAGCAAGCGGACCGAAAATCTTCAGATTTACATGCAAGTAAAAAATTTAAATATTTTCTTTCTTTTTTTTGTTTTGTTTTTTAACAGCAATTTTATTTACAAATTTATTTTCAAGGAATTGATGCATGAAGCGGAAAGAGTGGTCAGCAGTAACAGTGCATCACCAAACAGTAAAATTTCTCCGATCCATGTGAAAAATCATGATTCTCCAAAAGAGAATGGAGACGTAAATAATGAATTGGTATCTAATCATCTTTCAGAAGAGCTAGCTCATAAAGATAATTTAATTCATGATCTAGAGGTGAGAAAATCTAAATAAGATATACAGCATTTTGTAGTTTAAATTAGTTTATGTTATCAATTTAAAACAGTATAAGAAGAATTATTGAATGGTCTTCATAGTATTTATCAACTCTTTATTGGCTTAAAATTTCTGGTTTGGCTTTTCAAAAGCAGTTAACGTTTTTATTCTTTTATAGTTTACATTTTTTATTATTTGAATGTTTGATACATTATCTTTATACTTACATATTATTCATTAAACTATTAGGTTTAATTTGTATTCTTTATGTGGATTCATTGTGTATTATGTATTATTATACATGATCTTATTATTATAATTATTATAGATTAAGGTTGGTCGACTAGAACTGCAAAACGAACATTTGGAGATGAAGATTCAAAATCTGATAAAAACTCATGAAATGGAAATTGAAAGTATAAAAAAGACCCATGGGTAAGTTAATAATCTATTAATAGTTTACTGATTTCTTCAGTCATGCTTACATTAATTCCAGGAGCCTATTAAAAGTATTTATATCATCCAGTTAGTATTTTTAATTAACAGAAACCCTTTGTAAGTCGGTTTATAAAATTAGTATTAAATTTTATTTATTACATCATAATACTAGATAATGGAGGTGAACTGTTAAATGTTTTTCTATTCTTTTTAATTTTGTTGAAAATAATTTTTACATAAACTATCTTAAAATTTTATTTGCTCATTTCCTCATTTTAATAAAATATTTTGTTTACAGATATGAAATATCTGCATGGGAAACTCGTTTGCAACGCCTAACTAAAACCTTTGAAGAAACTACGTCAGAGTATGAAGAAAAAATTGAAAAATTAAAGGTAATCAAACAATTTGAAAGTGAACAGGATAATCCTTTGACATTTTATTATATTTGCAATCTCTAGTAATGAGGTATATTAATGGCAACAAGAAAGTTGTTCATGTTGATTTTATTCATCGTGATTCTAAACCAATAAGATTTCTCATGTAACAATACTAAATACATAGCTCTTTATTTTCATTTGTGGGTTCATGAAAAGAAAAAAAAAAATGGTTGGTTTTTAGTCACTATCTTGTACTTGAATTATTTAATGTATTATTATGTTAGTCTAACTAATCGGTGTATATGTGTATAAGTGCATATGTAATTGTAATTAAATGTTAACATTATTCAATATGGTATATTTAAACATTAAAAAAAAATGTATCAAGTAACAATTTTGATTAAAAATATAATACAAAAGAAGAGTAGTAGTCACACACATGATTTTAATATTTCCAGGTTCTTGCCCAACACTTAAACTGTACCATTAATTGAATAAGTTATTTCAGAAAATATATTGTGTAAATAATCAATCTCTACATTATTTATGCTTTTTTTTTTTTTCATTAAAAGATAAGTCTATGATCAATATACCAAAATCACTCTCAACACAAAACGGTTAAATATGACGTGTGTCATTTCTGGAATAACAAATTTGACTCGAGGTGGAATTCTGTTTTCTATAAGATTGATAAAATTCTTCATGGTAAATTTTCATAATATTTAATGTGGTTGATACAAGTTATAATTTTAAAAAATTAGATTTCTCTCAGTTTTATTTTTTAAAAGATGTGAAGAAGCATGTTTTAAAAACTGTTTCAGATGTTCTTAAAGATTGATATACAATTTAATCAAGACGTAAGAGCAATTACTTCATATTACTTTCAATTATAAATAAGTGTACTTAGGTATTCTTGAAAAAATACTAAAATAAATAAAAAGTTTTTCATTGTCTTCAGGAAAAAGAAGGACTTATTATTGCAGAACACAAGGATAGAATTGCTAAGCTCGAAGAGGAACGCATTGCAGACTTGACTAAATTAGGAGAATTCCATCGCCTCGCCATGGACCAAGCTGCATCTTTTACTGTAGTGGCTCCTAATTCCATATCGTGAGTATTTGGAATTTTTTTCCTAGCAGTAATGTATTATTATCTCATAATTATATTGGTAATTTGTTATTGATATAAAAGATTATTAGTTTTATTGTTGATTGAACAGCTAGTTAATAAAGCATTCTTAACAGATCCAGGATTTAATTTTGGAGGCTTCAAAGGTTTTTCTTTTTTCATATATTTAACAATAATTACTTTGGAAGAAAAAGAAAGAAACTACGTTTAAGAAATAATGTTTAAGTGATTCTTGAAGTCCTATTAAATATAATTACATGAAGAATAATACTTATAGATATAATTTTTTTCATAAGACATGGTTATATTTTACCATTTGGGGGCAGTCTTTATTCCAAAAGCTCTCCCCCCCTTAGATCCACCTGTGCAAACCACTATTCCTTTTCAAAATATTAAAATGGTTCTTTAAATAATTTATCCATATGTTTTGCATGTATTTCCTCACATTGATAACAAAAACAAAAAAACTAGCCAAACGATACGTCTACCTCTAAGAGGACAACATCGTCCAAAGGATGAAGTCGAACTTTCAGAGAGGGAGTCAGCGCTATTGGAGAAAGAACGACAGATTGAAGGTATAACTTATTTTCTATAATTTTTTTTTTATATAAAAAATATAACACTGATGGGGTCGGCTAGCAGATCTCTTGTGATCACAATGACGAATGCTAAAATTTTACAAATATGAACTCATTTTACAATTTTTTACATTTTAAATGTGCCCGCCTGATATATTTCTTATAAGACACATATTAAAGGTCAGGTACAAAGTAAGATGTGTGTTATTGCTTTGGTTCGAACCCTATCTAATAGTTTTATCTGTTGTGCAGTGCTGAAAGCAACATTAGAAGCAGAGAGGAAAGAACTGGAAGAAGCTCTTGAAATGGATAAGATAAGGCGAGAGGAGCACGCAAGAGAGTCTAGGAGACAGACGACAGAAATACGGCTACGCGAGGAAGTGCGGCAGACTGAGACCAAAAGGGAAAGAGAACAGTTAGACGCGCTGGCACTCCAGATCAAGGTGATCGCTTTAATGGCTAAAGTTAATATTGTTACTCACAATTTAAAAAAAAATAAGATCTTAGTCTAAGTTTAAATTCAAAACCATTAAATCCAAACCAATACCATATTAAATTGAATATAAGACATCCTTGAATTTAAGATGCACTTTTTTTCATTGGTGTATCAGTAAATTTTATGCATAAATAATGATAAAATATTAGAATTTGGAAATAGAGGGAAATAGTTATTTGAAACATACATACAAATAAAAGCTCAACAAAAACAAGGTTTCTATTTTCAATTTATTTCACAAAGATATAGTAGATACTAGGTTAATTTTAGTTGTGAAGATATTGTATATATGTTAATTTTAAAATTTTTCTATGGAAATTTACTTGGAATTATTTTAAAAATCCTTATAGCTAAATATTATAAATACAATTTTAGACTCCAAATTCAGTTTAGTGTGATATTAACAAAAATTGTACTGTTTATTTGCAAAGTATTTTTTTTAATAACCTTTCTTGACACGTACTTACATTTTGGTTTATTATTTTCAATAATCAACCATTGTGATCAACCAAAAAGTTCAAAAACTTAACCCCCTCTCAAAATTTGAGATTTCACGTTTCAGGGTGCGTAGAATTCAAAAAACGAATAAAAATTTTTTTGTCCGTACGCCGTCCGCCGTGCGGCTATTTTCTCCGAAACTACTGGACCGATTTTTTTAAAATTTTGATATAAAATCAGAGGTCACCCAAGGACAATCCTCCTTCATCGACATTACTATCCGCCTTTTACTTTCAAAATGGCGGCTGAAAAACCTGCATTGCTATAGACTTTAGCTCCTAAACGAATGTACAGATTTCAATGAAACTTCGCTAAAGTCATTTTCTCGACGCCCTTTAAATTTATCTATATAACATACTTCAACGAAAAGAAGCTGGAAAAAAAGTTACGAGGGATGGTAAAATTAAATTCCGGATAACTCGAAAAGTTTACACTTTTTTATTGATATTGTATATGTTTTTTTTAAAAAGTTTACAAAATTTCCTAAAAAACAAAACAAAAAATCGTTAAAATCGAACAATTAGGAGCAAAGATATGGTTTCCGGTTTTTTTTTTTATATGTTTTACTCCAAATGTTATATCCTTGGTTTTTTATTTTAATTTTGAATATGTTATTGAAGTAATGCTATTTTTTTTTTTAGCATATTACTTATGATTAAAAAAAAAAAGTTTAGTCCAATAATTGGAATCACCTTTTGTTTATTTTTCTTTGTAACTCGGAAGGTAAAGTTACTTTAGATGTATAATTGTTTGGAAATAATAAACCATTGTAAAATAATTTTGCATCGTTTTTTAGCTCTGTATGTGGTTTGATTTGACAAAATCCATATTATGATGGTTTAATTATTTAGCTAGATCACTCACAGAAACAAATATGGACCAATGAAAAAAAATAAAAAAAATTATACTATTGCAAAATATTGTAATAATTAGTAAATTTTCATTTTTGTAATTGGAAAGAACATGTTTTTATGTATTTAAAACAATTAAAAAAAACATTTGTCTAAACAGGTATAGTGAATTTAATGAATGACCACAATTTTTTTCATGAAAAATGGAAGTAAAATTTATAAAATAAAATATGAAGCATTGTTGAATGGTTATTATGGTACGGCTTCTATAATATCTCACTAAGGCAAGTGTTAAATAAATAAGTGGTTATATTGAGGTGGGAATTTTTGATATCCTATCTAACTTTACAAGTAGCCGATGGGAAATTACTCAAATCAAACGTCAAAGCGTGTTTGATATTAGCACTCAACATTTTAAAGACATGTTTATTTTAATCCATCTAAATAAATTTCCAGATAATGAGAGATGAAGCATTAAAAGAACAAGGGGAAATAGCGAAAGAGAAGCTGGAATTAGCTGCAGAGCGCGCTAGATTAGAAGCTACCTATTCCATCCAGGGTAGAACAGAAGGCTCCATCCCTCCGTTGGATATCATGCAGGTTTGTTTCTTACTCAATTAACTGAAAAGTATTTATTTTATAAAATTGATTATTGTTAGATTCTCTACATCTTTTTATATTATTATTTTAAAATGATTTTAATTTTATCTATAAACAATATATATATATATATATATATATTTTTTTTTTCCCACAAAAGCATGATTTGTTATTTAATACAGGCCCGAGCTGAAGTGGAGGCAGCCCTGGAGACAGCTCGGCAGGCGAAGGAGGCCGCGGAAATGGAACGGAGGAGGCAGGCCGAGATGAGGCAGGCGGTCGAGCAGATCACTTGGGAACAGAAGGAGATGGACCTCAGACTCGAGAACAGGGAGAGGCACGTCAATGACATGCTCAAGGTCTGTATTAGTTGTTTTGTTATTTTCTGTTATTAATACAGGTATCATAGATTCCTTTGATTTAATAGTGGTCCCTTGTTAAATCAAATTTGGTGGGAACCAAAACCTCCCGTTTTTGTTCACCGAATTTTGTCCAAAGGCCGTTTTACTCAGTCTTTTCTTGAACCAAGTATGGATAGTAATTCTCACATTTTTCTGCTAGTTGTGCCATGAAACTTTACCTTGAAACTTTACTTCGAGTTTTGTAATCAGTGTTATTTGTTATACATGTTGAATAGGAGGGCTATTTGGAAGAATAGTATAGTTTGTTCAAACATTCCCAGCATGGATCAATTTGGTCCTGCAACTTAATATACTCTTTTTTACATGGTTAAATTTCTTTAACAAAGTGAGTTCATCTTAGAAACTGATCGAGGAACTTAACCGTGTAAAAGGGTCTTAATACAAAGAAATTAATGTTATATACACTGACAGGCAAAACATTGCACCCACTTGATTTTTTCATGTTTTCATCTAAAAATATTTCTGATTTGGATCAGTCTATTGTTTTTAATGAATAAATTAGGTAATGTTTTTGTTTGTTTTCAATTAGGAATGTTAATATAGAGGACAATAACCCTTAATCCTTAATTCAATGAAATGATTCTAGATTCCAATGTTTACTTTCTATGGAATCAAAATTTTTATTCAGTATCATTAGTTCAGTGCCATTTCTTGCAGCACATTTCTTAGTCTCTGGCTTTTAATTTCTTCAATATTAAGTTTAAAAATGCCTCTTAGTGCTGAGGATGTTGCGCGTGGTGTGGCACTTATTGATGATGGATGTTCCATTAGATATGCAGCTAATGCCATCGGAGTTCCATATGAAACTTAACGAGACGCCGTCAGGCGTTTTCGGGAAACTGGTTCTTACAATAGAAGGCCCGGTTCTGGATGGCCTTGGATAACAGAACCATGGGATGACCGGTTTTTGACTTTGAGAATTTTACTAAACCGGCACCTTACCATTGTTCAAGCGATTCATCAGCTCGAAGAAGTTCGAGGTGTGCAAATTTCTGAACGTACTGCTCGGAGAAGATTAAATGAGTATGGATTAATGGCTTTTTGTCCAGTAAGAGGACCAGAGTTGACCAGAACTCACAGAGTAACACAGCTGTCTTTTGCTCGAGAACACAGCCATTGGACTATGGACGAATGGAGTGCTGTACTTTTTACAGATGAGTCAAGATTCGCTCTTCGATCTCCAGCCGGGCGTGAAAGGGTGTGGAGAAGAAGAAACGAAAGATATGCAGCCTGTATTTTTTCCCAGAGCCAACCTTTCCAACGTGGTTCCTTAATGGGTAACAAGTGGGTGGAATTTTTTGCCTGTCAGTGTATATGAATCAACACCAAGGTGAAGCATCAAAGTACTTTTCAATTTTTTGATCTTGTCATTCAAAAGCTGTTTGGAAAGACTTAAATGGTTAGGGTACCATTCCACCTGCTTTGTACTTCCGACAACAAGTGCCTTTGACTGATGAGTCATGCTCTGTCTGAGTGGCACTTCTGTTCTCAAGTGGTATGCAAAAGATGGGTCGATTCTTGGATTGGCTCCAATGATTAATCATTTCATCAACAAGGAATTCGTTTGTATGCTACTATAAGCATTTGGAAAAGTCATAACTAGTAATGGAAAATTCTTTGAGTAATCAATTTTTTACGATTTTCACTTAATTTAAATCCAAATTAAAAAAAAAATCTTTCGAACTTATATCTTCAATATTTTTGAAAATTTGAGTTATAAAATTATTTTTTATGTTTTAATCAACATTTTATTTGGTAACGTATTTTTTCTTTTTTAAAGAAATGTATAATAATAATAATAATAATAATAAAAGGCTTAGCGAACCCGAAGGTTCGATGCCGACACCACCAATCGCTTGTTACACACCTCCCTCCACCGTTCGCCGTCCAAACCCAGTCCCTTCAGATCGGCTTTAATGCAATCTTCCCACCTTCGCTTCGGTCTACCCCTCGGACGCTTACCATTCGGCACAGCAAATATTAACCTTTTAGGAATTCTCTCGTTATTAAGCCCAACAACTTTACACGCCCATTTGATTCGCCGCGATGAAATTACCTCAATTATATTACCCGGATACAGCTCACGTAATTCGGCGTTGTGTAACCGTCTGAACTCTCCGGTTAACTCATCCTTCTTCGGTCCGAATATTCTACGCAATACTTTATTTTCAAAAACCTTAAGACGCTGTTCATCCCTTAGTGTAAGCGGCCAAGTTTCGCATCCATAAAGAACTGTAGGCAAGATAATTGTTTTATAGATTCTAGTTTTTAAGTTCCGGGACAAGAGGCGCGAACTAAGCAGTTTTGTCACAGAAAAATAACAAGCATTTCCCGCCTTCAGTCTAACCTTAATCTCTTCTTCAATTTCGTTTTTTCTAGTTATCGTAGAACCTAGATACCTAAATTTATCTACCTGTTCAAACATATTACCATCTATATCGATATCACCAGTAGTATCGCCATTTTTGCAGCTAACCATATATTTTGTTTTATCCACGTTTATTTCGAGTCCTAGTTCTTTACCGGCTTTCATTAACGTTGTCGTATTTAGTTTTATAGTTTCAACGTCTTCGCTTAACAGTACCAGATCATCAGCATAGCCCAGCACGGATGTTGTCCCGCCCAGATCCAACCCTTTCTCGGTTCGCATTACCTCCCTAATGGCATGTTCTAATGCCAAATTGAACAGGACAGGCGAAAGAGAATCCCCCTGTTTTAAACCCGAACGAACCTCAAATTTTTCGGACAAATTATTACCGATTCTAACTTTATTGAGTGTCTCCGTCAAGCACATCCTGACTAGATTTACTAGTTTTTTTGGAATCCCCTGCTCGATTAGAATATTATACAGTTTCTGGCGGTCAATAGAATCGTAAGCCTTTTTAAAATCTATATACAGCTGGTGAACAATACCGTTATACTCCAATTTTTTCTCTAATATTTGCCGTAAAGAAAATATTTGATCAATAGTCGAGCGCTTCCGTCTAAATCCGCATTGGTAGTCTCCGATAATTTCCTCGGCGTATTCCGTAATTCGACTGGTTAAGATTAAAGTGAATATTTTATAACATACCGGAAGGAGTGAAATTCCTCGATAGTTATTACAATCCGTCCTCGGACCCTTTTTGTGAATCGGAATAAGAATAGATTCTTTCCATTCTTCAGGTAAGTTCTCGTTCACCCAGATCTTTTTAACCAACCGATGTATTTTAGAAACTCCAGCTTCCCCGCATGCCTTAATTTGTTCAGTAGGAATATTATCGGTTCCCGCTGCTTTATATGATTTTAATTTTCCGATAGCTACTTCAACTTCCTCTTTACTTGGTCCTTCTATGAACGGTTCAGCACTCTGGTACTCAGAAGGAGGACACAGATCATAATTTCCCGTATTTAAAATATTGTCAAAGTGGTCCTTAAACTTATTCAATATGTCAACCGGATCGGTCAGAATATTGTTATTATTATCCCTAATTCCAGACGTTACGGGCCCTACATATTTACGTGATCTGTTTATACCTTTGTACATGTCTCTTATGTTATTTTCGATTCTATTAGTTTCTATTTCAATTATTTTATTTTTAAGATACTCCCTTTTTTTATTTTTGAGCAATTTTGTCGTTTCGTTCTTTGAGGTTCGGAAGTATTCCAGATTATCTTCGCTAGGATTATTTAGAGCTTTTAATTTAGCGGCTTTTCTTTTTTCGCACATGTTTAAGCAATCTTCATCAAACCACGGTTTGTTATTCTTATTTTCCTTTTTTCCTAGACACGAATTACCGACCGCTTTAATATTATCCCTGATCTCTACCCATAACTTGTCAATATCCTCGTAGTCCTCGTCAGGAAGCTCTAAAGCTTCAAACCTATTCTTAACATCTAGCTCGAATTGGTTTCTAATTGATGGATTTTTTAATTTTTCTAAATTAAAATTCTCAAAATCGAAACGGTTTTCTTTTATCTTTTTTATATTAAGTTTTTGTCGAAGTTTCGCGATTAATAATTCATGATCCGACCCACATTCTGCTCCGCGATAAGACCGTATATTAATTATACTGCTTTGCCAGCTGTGTTGTATCAAGACATGATCGATTTGATTTCGTGTTTGCGAATCCGGTGATGTCCAAGTATATTTATGAATATCCTTATGTTTAAACGTCGTACTTTTAATTATCAGGTTTTTCGAGATGGCAAAGTTTATCAGACGGATCCCATTATCATTACTATATTCATGCAAACTTTCTTTACCAATCGTCGGAATATAAACTTCTTCCCTTCCTACCTTTGCGTTGGCGTCACCTACAATTATTTTATGTAGTTTCGCGGTAGTTTATCATAAACCCATTCGAGTTTATCGTAAAATTCACTTTTGACTTCATCGTCACTGTCTTCGGTCGGACAATGTATGTTTATTAATGCGATTTTAAACCAACGTCCCTGAAATATAACTACCGAAATTCTATCACTAAAGAATTGTACGTCCTTCAAAGCGGATAGTAATCTACTCCTAATTAGAAACCCGGTACCCAAACAATGATTCCCGCTTCCTCCGTACCAAATAGTGTACTTCCCTTCCCTCATCGAGCCCTCCCCTGGCCAGCGAACCTCTTGCAGAGCCACGACATCCAAATTGTACCCATTTACCTCCTTAGCGACCGATTTTAGCCCCCCTGCTGTGTTTAAACTCCTTACGTTCCACGTACCAATATTTAAATCCCTATATTTCAACTTGCGCCATGAATCCCCTAAAGCAGTCCCCACCCGGAGACCCGAACGGGGGACTAGTTTACTTCCGGATAATGAGCGTTTTACCTTAGGGAGATCCATGACTATTTGTGGTGTTTGGTGAACTAAAAATATGTGAGTAGGGCGTTCAATTCTACGTCACACCCTCCAGCAAGTCTGGTGGGCCCCTCCCTCCAGCAAGTCTGGAGGTCCCCTCCCTCCAGCAAGTCTGGAGGGCCCCTCTCATTGTTGGTCAGCGAGTCCATCGGACTTAGCCGGGAGGAACTTCTAAGGAATTTCCACCGACCATCCCCACATCCGCCACCCGTGGGACGCTCCCCATACGCGGTAATGAGCCCGCACGAGGAAAGAAATGTATGACAAATTAATTTATAATATATGATTAAGGTGAACCAAGCAACATGTCTGTGGGTTGAATTCAAACAATTTTCTATGTATTGTTTTTGTTTTTCCAACAGAGTGCTGAAAGATTGAGAAATGAAGGCTTGTCAGCCATTGAAGAAGCAAAAGCAATGAAGCTTGAAATGGAAAATCAACAAAGAGAAGTTAGAGAACAATTGAATCAAATTGAAACTAAAGAAAGAGTTTTAGCAAAGGTAAGATAAAATATTTCATCAACACTTCATCTAGATTAAAAATTCATTTTAATCTATATGTGCTGTTAAAAAAAATATCTCTATGTTAATGTAATTGGTATCTTAAGTTACCAATACTATCAGTTGATAATCAGAATTCAAGTTGGTTTAGGCGAAAGTGTCTATAACTTACTATATTGCATTTGTAATAGATATCTAATAAAGAATGAGAAAGATTTTATAAGCCCAGTTTGTTTTCTTTATGAAGTTCTGTAGAATCTATTAATTCATATCATCAGAGAAATATGAATTATGGGGATTTCTAGTAATTGAGAGTAAAACAAAAACTGTTTCTAGGCTCATACGAAGTGATATTTTTTGGAGGTGAAAACACTTGACACTCTAGATGTATAATTAATTGTGTTATTGTTGTAAATTATTAAATCTTATTTGAATTAAGGATTCATTCAATTACTTCATTAAGGTCTATTAAAAAAAAATTATAATTTTCAGGAGAGATTGGAAATAGCAAAAGAAAAAATTGAATTAGAACGAAGAAAAGCGCAGCTTGAATTAATATTACCTGAACTGAACCCTGCAGAAGAACTTACTATTAATCCGCCTAAGGTAATTATTTTATGGATTTTTTTACTATTCTAACTTTAAAATAATTAATTTGATATTTCAAAAGATTTTACAATGTTTTAGTAGAACATGATCATATTAGTGGTTAGAGAATTAAAGTTTTACTCGTATTGGGTCGTCATTGAAATGTTCATTATTTCAAATGCGCTTCTGTTTATTATTTATTTTTTCCTAATTAACTTCAACAGACATATTTTTCACAACTTAATGAAGATGTATGGAGTTATCATTTGGCTGATAAAGAATTGCCATCACTTGTTAAGTGCCGGTTATCAGATTTTATCAGGTACCTATTAATAATGAGCTATGGGCTCTTCTTTTTACCAAGTAATAGTGTAGTTTTAACTTTACTATCTGCCAATTACTGGTTAATAATAAGACCATTCAAATACTGGATATCTGAACTAACTACACAGTAATATTAATCTGGAAAATTAAAAATAACTTATGATCCTATAATCAGCTTTTTCGCTGTTGTGAGTGGCGAGCTTTATGTCTATTATAGTGCTAAGTAAGATGGCTACCTGTGCTACACACTTCTTGTCTACATTCTATCCTTCATTACCGATCGTTTGCTACTATCTGTTAACCTTATTTTATTGCTTCCATCCTCCTTTTTGATTCGGGCTGTGGACCGACTGTTGAAGTTAAATTTTTTTTTATACGTTTAAATATTTAATTTAATTTTGTATGATATTCTTCAAAACTTTTGTTAATACAAAAACCAACCTTACAATTGTGACATTCTACTTTTTTTTCGCACCAAGTATATTTTTTAGAACAAACAACATATTTTCCTTTTTAACTCCTGTTTCTTTATTTTAAAGAAAATAATGAAACAAAAAAAAAAACTTATAACTAAAATAATTAATTAATGCTGTACGACCACGTAACTGAATAAAATTAATATAAACTCAGAGCAGTTGAACACACAGTTATTCCACACTGAATGCAAAAATAAGAATGAAAATGGTCGAGAAAGACCGGAGCAGGTAGTCACCCTCAACAGTTCATGAATTCTACGAGAAATCCTTCAAAATAATTCTCCATGCCATCTGTAGGCTAGTTAGAAGCTTTATTTCTCTAGGAAAACAGTAGAATGAAACAAGGTCGCAACTGCTATACTTGACATTAGCAAATAGAAAAAAAGTAGTGAAACAGCTATAGTCGACGTTAGGGCTTGCCCAGGAGTGGGGCGTGTCTGCTATAGCCGTCTTTAGCAACAGGCAATTCCGTTGCGTCTGCTATACCCATCATTAAAACTTAAAGGATTAAAAGATAAAGAATTATTGTATTTGTTCTGTTATTTATTCATTGTTTATTAATCTCATTATTAATTATTATTTTGTAGACATTCGTCGATCCAAAAGCAGTTATTATGAGATTAAAGGCTGAAAAAGAACTTGAGTCATTTATGACAGCTCGGAAATGATATGTAATTTTATCTTTACAATATCCTGCTTGATACTTCAAATACGTATATATTGTTTGTGACTGTTTTTCTCCTACAATGAATTATTGGTTTTAATAATCTATTTTATTACATTTAAGGTAAGAACAGTATTATTTAAATTTAAAAAAAAAAAGTGTTCAATTGTGATTTCAAGTGTTCATCTTTATTACATATTTTGTACTATGTTGTTTATTTGTGTGTCAATGCCTTTATAATCTCTTAAGAGAAGTTTTCTACTTTTTGTAATTTTTGTATGTTTAAAAAACAATAATTTAAGATAAATAAATTTAACGTTTATTATATTTTCCAATTATCAATTTTTTTTATATAGATTATACATTAATATATAATGTAACTTGATTAAATTTACATAATATTTTGTACTACTTTTCTATCTAGTATAAGATGAGGTGTCATTTAATAAATGTTTCTTTTTCTTGGTAGCTCTTTATCCTTCATTTGAATCTCTAAAAATATTTTTAAAAAAACATGAATTATTTAAAAATAAACAGAAATATAATTATCAGTAATAATTGAAATGATTAATTGCCAAAAGGACTTACATGTGAGCATAATTTAAACTATTGGTGTCGAAACAGGCTTCGTTTTGAAGAGATTGGTTGTTGAGAATGTTGTCTAATTTTGTTATAATTTGTGAAAAGGAAGGTCGGTTATATGGTTTTTCTTTCCAGCACATAGTCATTATATCATATCTGTAAAAAAAATCATTCAGTACTGATAAGTCACAAAGTGTTTGGTATGATTTATGATTTCTGGGAATGTAAAGTATGCAAAGTCTTATAATACTTTATACTATTTGTAATTTTGGAGAACTGCAGTGGAAGGCCTACTTTATAAACATTAAAGTCTTTTAGTAAAAAAAAAGGTACCCTCCTAGAGGGATGATAGGCTGTATCTTAAGTGACATTGAGTGAGGGAACGGTGAGCAATTGAATAGGGATGGATTGAGTGCACAATAAATTAGACTCAATTGTGCAGTGAACAAGTGTGGAAATTGTAAAATATGCATATATGAACAACTCAAGAACAAAGGAGGTTAGAAAAGTGTCCAGCAGGTGGTAGCAGCATACATGAGTGTTACTGATAAGGATCGTTAATTTATTCAAAGATCATTTCAGTGAATAAATTCTTTCTAAAATACTGATAAATCAATAGTTTATTATCTAAGAATCAGTCAAAATGTAAATTCAAGAACCATTCTTCAAAAAGGAGATGGAGAGGGGAACGCTGGTTTCCTCGCTCTGGTGCAGAGAGACAAAAATAGAGTACTTAAGGCTAGGAGGTGAGCAAGAGAGGTTGTGATAGCATGAGAAAGCTACCACTGGCAATAGAAGATGATGATGATGCCATTATACAACTCAGGTGTTGAAGAACTTTTAAGTTATCAGTATCTGACAATGTTTGTTAGAATAAATTAGTTGTTTTGGTCAGAAATGAATGTTTTCTATTTATTTAGTTTGTTTACATGCTTCAAACATCTTTTCGTTAGACAGCTGAGGATCGACAAACTCAGGTGAGTCCATATTTATTCAAAGTGTGCCTCTCCATGCAATGTCACTTAAAAATTAGTTCCCCTGAAGTCCCAACTGTAGCAGATACCCTCAAAATGTCATATCCAGAGCAGGAGGGTTTTTCTTTGAAATAACTTAAGGATTTAAATAAACAAGACCCTCGTGCAAAGGAAAGATTGTTTACAAAACAATGTGGCTCCAAAAAGCATAGATATTTGCTTTAAAAAATAAGCATTATTGTGTCCTACATATCACTTTTTTCTAACTTAAGGAATAACTAGTCATGTTGGATATCCTATGCAGGCCCTATTATCAACTCATTGCCATTACCATCACCTTATAGCTGTAGGAAGTAATGTTTTCAGTATATTTGTTATAATATAGTACTATCAAAAATGTTGGACTGCTGTAAGTGGTTGTTGTTATTTAAAAAGTAATATCATTGAATAGGCATTAGTTTGTAGAGGAACCATAACCTTAAAATTAAAGAGAAAGTCTTCATTTATGAGCAATTCTGGATCACTGGCCATTTCGGAAGCCAGGAGAAATGAGAATCCATATTTAAGTCATTTATTATGAACTCGTTTTTATCTTGTTTTAAATTCACACACACACACACTCACATAAACATTTTTTTTTATAAACTTATAGGCATCGTTGAGGATATGAAACTGTATAAATGTTGTGTGCCGTCCGAAGTATACATAGCGCCTGGTTATGTAAGAAGCTTGGGTTAAAAAAATAGTTTTTTTTTTTCGGAAATGATGATATTTTAATCATGTGGTCTCAAACTATTGCCATCTGTATTATAAAAAGGAAACTATTCTCTTTTTACTTAGATACATTTACATAATTATTAATAAGAACATACATTTGACCATTGCAAGATGGTGGTTTTTCCATCCTATATCCTGTCTTGAGCAGTTTATAGACCTCAGCCGAGGGAATGGAAGGATAGGGAGCTCCGCCGAATGTCATGACCTCCCAAAGAAGAATTCCAAAAGACCATCTAAAAAAAAAAAAAATTGTCAACCAATTGATATGTTTTATTTAACAACTGTTTAATGTATTTGATAATGATCAAATTACACATCACTCTGTGAAGTAAATATGTGATGAGTCAAAGATTCTATGGCCATCCACTTTATTGGAAGCTTGGAAACTCTTTTCTTCCTATAAACAGACTGCTCATAGATGTCCCTGCTTAGTCCAAAGTCAGATATCTTAGCCACAAGATCAAAAGTCAAGAGGATGTTTCTTGTTGCTAAGTCTCGGTGAATTATTTTGTTATTGGTCAAGTATTCCTGTAACAATCCTAATCTAAATGCATTGTTTTTAATATCATTAATTTATCAACTCTGGTTGTCAGACATATGACAATTATACAAAAAAAAAAAAAAAAATTACCATTCCAGTTGCTACTTGTCTTGCAAAATAGAGCAAATCTATGATGTTCAACTTGAGGTGTTTTTGTTCGATTTCTAAAGAAAAAAATACTTTTGTTTTATAATGAAGTATTATATTTCTAAAACTTTATAGAAAATATTTTATAATTAAATACCTGATTGTTCATATATCATATTTGATACAATGTGATCGTTAGCTTGAAATTCTGGAAAATTTGATTGATTAATTATTTTTTGTTAGTTTAGATGTTGGGTTTCTAACTAGGAATTTCATTTGTTCAATTTCATTTCCTTTTATTGAGTGAGAATTGCTTTTTAGTTCAAAAATAACAGTATGGGCTCTCATATCCAAAACATTTAAAAGAGATTAAATGAAACATTGGTGGATAAATAGTTGGATGTGGATAATATGGATGGGAAGTTCGGGTTTGCAGTCGCAGTGAGAAACAAATCGAAATGAACAAAAATTATTTTATTTTGTGTCCACTTTATGTTCATCAGAATTTTTTTTTTCAATAATTAAAAAAATCCCAATTGTTTACTATGAACTTAGCTTACTGAAATTAGCTTACCGACTTACATACATGTACACCCATGTTTGAGATCTCTATTACCCCATAATAAGCACAACACAGCATTTCATGTGTGGAAATGTATGAAAACTACTTTATGACTGGTTTGCTGCAAAAGAGCAACAGTTTTTCTAGTAGCCATTCATAAATTGCCAGAGAGATGGGAAAAATGTATAGCTAGCAAATGTTTTGAATAAAATATTTTTAATCATTTATCTTCTTTATAAAATTCTGGTTTCATACTTACACATCTTGTATATGATATCGTCGACACCATGCTTAAGTAATAAATGGGAATCTGCCCAATGTAAACTTTCTATTATGATTATTCATTACAACATATACATACCTAACAAAGCTATAAATTCTTAAAAATGACATAACTGATTCCGGTCGCCGTTCAGATTTGACTTTTTGCCACAAGGCGGGCCTTGGAGTATCTATCTATCTCGTTGGCGCTTCGAGCCGAAGGTGGGTCTTGGCATTCTCTAGGAGCTCGATCCATTGCCGCTGCCTTCCAGTTCAGTGTACCTAGTATGGTCACCTAGTAGTAGGAGGTGCACCCAGTGTACCTAGTAGTATGACTATGCTGGAGTCAACCGCCACACCATCTATCCATCTTAGCCTGGGTCTTCCTCTCATCCTGGTGCGGTCAATCCTATCCTCGAGGACTCTTCAGGGAACATCATTCTCCTCCATCCCAATAACATGGCTGACTCAACTTAACCTTCCAAGTTTTATGAAGTCGAGGACATTTAAGTCATTATACTGAGTGTATAACTCCCGGTTTCTTTGCCTCCTCCAAACTTCTCACAAAATTTTCCTTTTCAATATAAGGAGGCTATTTTCATCAGCCTTTGTCATTGTCCATGTTAGTGAGGCAAGTTTTCATTCTATGGACCACTTCCATAACTTCTTCGAAATCTGAGGGAGTTTATTCTCTTCTTTTGAGTTGTCATTTCGATTTTCCTGCCTAGCAACTTCTTCTGCGTCTTCTACTGTAGCATCATTTAGTGGAGCTTCAAAGTGACGCACCCATTTTTGGAGAATTTCTTCTTTATTTGTGAGTAGTGAACCATCCTCGCTTTTGCAGGGGATAGAAGTTGGTTTGAAATTGGCTGTTTCCTGATTGACCCTACGATAAAAATCTGCTGTCATTTATTTTTGTAGTTTCTCGATTTCTTCCAATTTTTTTCCTTTCCCAAGTTTTCTTCTTTTTTCGATGTAGTTTCTTCTCCACATGCCGCATAGTTCTAAATTTTTCTGAAACTAGCTTAGTATATCTCCTGAGCACCATCGATTTGTAAGCTCGGTTTTTTGCATCTGTTGCTGCCTGGCATTCTAAATCAAACCACTCCTCTCTAGTATGTCCTGATTGGTTTCCTAATCCTTCTTCTGCAGCCCTTGTTATAGCTTATTTCAGAATCCCCCTTGGGGTACTATGATAAACAAATGAAATTGAAAATTATGATTTTTCATATTCGTTACTTTAACATGGTGCCAACGAAATGACTTATACAGAATATCTGAAAAACAGATAACGTTTTATTTATCAGGTATCTAACAAACTGTTACTTTTAACTGCTTATTTTAATTAACAATTTTACCATTTTCTTGACTAATATTTTGTTATAACCTACTTTTTGTACTAGTAGAGCCACTGTTCATGAGTTCCTGTATCAATAGTTTGGTTTTGCGTGCCTGAAACAAAGTCACACAATTTTTTAATGTTTCCAGTTGATTAAAGGTCTGATAGTTGGGTATTTTAAATAAATTAGATTATACTTCTCTGAGGAAGTTTTGCAAGTCGCCAAGAGCACAGTATTCTACAACAAGAAGTTTTTCATTGGGGCAGTAACCGATTAAAGAAACTAAATTTTCATGTTTGCCAACTGTCCTCATAACTTCCACCTCTCCTTGAAAACTTTCAATGTCTTCTTTTGTTGCATTATCTAAATATAAAGTGTTATATACAACATTAGATGTATATATATATATATATTAAGTAGGGAGCTTTCGTAAAGCTTATGAATGAATAAAATAAGGCTTGATATCATTTTCATGTATTTTAAAATCTAAAACATATGTTAGCTGTTATCTGTTTTGAATTTTCTCAGCAAAGGAATAATCTCACTGACCCGTCCTTCTGACTTCTGTGGCAAGTCGGTGCTGGTCTATGGCGTCCAGCGCCCTCCTTCGTAAGTCCTCTTAAGCCTTCTCATGGCGTAAGCTCATTTGCCTGTATTTCATTTACAACTGACCTTCTAAGTATTCCTACTACGGAGGCATGCAGCTCTGTAGCGTCTAGTGAGTCTATTAATCCTGCTGCGATCTTGGCTTCGATTAAGTAGTATATATAGTCACCACGTTTGAGAAAGTGATTGAGATGCCCTGATTCTCCACCGAAACGTTCTAATTCTGTCACACTATTCTTTAAATAAGCGGTGGTAGCAGTCTTAACTCTTAACCATTCCAACTGTACTAACTCAGGATTGCTGGTATTAATTACTCATACTATGTCTGGTCCTAAGGTTGCATAGATTGTTCCTGATGTTAGATAGGTAGTTTCTGAGTTTCAATCTTCATGAGTCATTAATCCCGAAGGTTTCAGCACCAGTTAACTTTGGGCTGGTTCAAAAATACACAAAAGGATTCAGATATAGTTTTAATAACAAGTAACTTATTTGGTAATTTTAGACTGTTTTTTTTTTTTTTTTTTTTTTTTTTTTTTTTTTTTTTTTGTTCTTATGAGTTCAGGTTTATATTACCAATGAGTCTCTTTTTTTATTAAAATTTTTAATTTTGTAGAGAAGCTTTCGGTGTCCATGCACCATATTCATCTCTTTTATTAGTTTTGTCTATTTAAAAACATAAATGATAAGAACAGTGTTCTTGATCTTCGTCTTATGTTAGCTTCCTCCGAAATAGGACTCCTCTTTGCTAACACCATCTTACTAAGTTAGACAAGGAGGAGTCCTATTTCGGAGAAAGCTAACATGAGACGTATGAACAAGAACACTGTTCTTATCATTTATGTTTTTAAATAGACAAAACTTATAAAAGAGATGAATACGGTGCATGGACATCGAAAGCTTCTCTACAAATACAATTTTAAATCAAAAAAGAGACTGTCATCGGTAATATAATCCTGAACTCATAATAACAAGTAACTTTTATTATTACAAATTAGAGATTTTACACAACGTTCAAAACTGATAACAGCTAACATATGTTTTTTTAATTTTAAAATACATGAAAATAGTATCAAGCCTTATCTTATTTTCATTCACAAGCTTTACTAAAGCTCTCTACTTAATGTATATATATATAAAACCAATCATTATATATTATATTCACATTTCGAAATATTTTTTGAAATTTATTACTCTAGCAACAGTATTATTTATAATTGATCTCAGTCCGCAAACTATTTAAACTTTGGGGGCTGAACTTCGACAACCCTACAGGTGATACTAGTGCCAATGCAAAAACATTATGAACTTAAATAAATCATCTTTTATTTTAATTTATTGATCTTTATTTTAAAATAATATTTAGTCCTTTAAATATAATCTTATTTAATAATTTTATTCAAGATAATTTTAGTTTTAGGCCACTTTCATACCGAAGATGTAAGACTCAAGATGCATGCATTCTGGATGCAGGGTGCATGCATCTAAAACACTAGATATCACATCAAATATGCAAGACGCACTTGCATCTTAGGAACCAGCGAGCATCTTTGTTGTGCTGGTCTTGCCTACTTGCCCCTTCCATCTCGCCCTGCTTCACCCCACCCTTGACTCATCCAGTTTCTTTTCAGACTTCAATTAGACGTTGTGTTCCAAGTACGGTTTCATGAGATCCAACAACTTGTTAAAAGTCGAAATCTCCATTTTGTAATATGCATGAAACTTTACTGGATGGTTCAGTGATCGCTGAGACACAAAAGCAGGGCTATGCTGTGCAGCATTATTTCAGTATGGATGCTGCCATAAACGATTCTTTGTCTTTTCTGACTGCAAAAGATAGAATTATAATTTTGTCGCCTGAAGAGTAGGATGATTGATTATTCATATTTTAAACTCATGTACTAAACTAAAGAGAGATAATGGATATAAACAGAAGCTGCAAGTGGCACGTGCATCTTTGGTATGAAAGCCCTTTCATTAAGATGCCAGACACACATACATCCTGCATCCAGGAAGAACGCATCTTCGGTTTGGAAAGCCCTTTAGCTTAGATACAATTAACTTCTTTATTAAATAAGACTTACCTCTTAAAGTTTTTACTGCCACTTCAGTTTCTCCTTTTTGCTTTTCCATTAAAGCCTTATAAACTATACCAAATTCTCCCTTACCAATAACTTCCTTCAAAGTTATCATATTTGAGTTAATGTGATATCCAAGTTGTTTTTCTTTATTTTCCTTCATATTCTTAATCTTTACTCCATCAGATTTTTCCTCCATCTGTTTCAATGTTTTAATAATAATAATAATGCTTTATTTATTCTGGGACGAGTTCCTTTAGAATAATACAGAAAGACAAAAATGTGGACTAAGGAGCCTCAGAGATACATAAACAAAAATATAGAGTTAGTGAATAGTCAAAATAAAAAAAAATAATAAAAGAAATTACAAGTTACTTTCTAATTTAAATCAGTTAATGATAAAAAATAAAAAATTGAAAATAATCATGAAATAAAAATAATGAACGATCTAATAATTTATATACATATTTACAGTAGTAACTATTTACAATTTTATGAGGACTGGATGGATAAGAAATGATTAAAAAGGCGGGATTTAAAGGTAGGAAGGGTTTTGGATTGACGGATGTGGGGAGGGATGGAGTTCCATAGGGAAGAGGATCGAATAATAAAAGATTTATCGAAAGCAGCGGTTCGGTGGGCCATAATATATAAATCTGAAGACCGGGAATGGGCATTGTGGGAGTGGACAGAGGATTTAAATTGAAGGAGCTCGAAGATGTATGAAGGATGGTGGGATTGGATGACTTGAAAGAGGAAGGATGCCAGGGAATACTTACGATCGTAGGAAGGATAAAGTCGCTTCAACTCTGCATAAAAACGGGAAACAGAGGCTTCTCTTGGGATCCCGAAGATGAATCGTACAAAGCAATTTATCAAACGTTTTAATTTTGCTTTGAGATCCCCAGAGACCCCCCATATATCGTACAGCAATAGTCAAAGTGGGGAAAAATTAATGAAGTTACTAGGAGCCTACGAGTTTCAAGGGGAAATAGATGACGGGAGTAATTTAGACGTTTTAAGGTGGAAATGGTACGGCAGGAGATGTCGGATACATGATTTTTCCAGGAAAGTGTTTGATCAAAAATCATTCCAAGGTTTTTAATGGAAGGATAGAATTTAATAGGATTATCATGTAGAAACAGAGTTGGAATATTAGGAACAGTTTTAAGGTGATTGGAGCCTATTAAGATTTTCTGCATTCAAATTCAACTTGTTAGCTCTCGCCCAGTCACAAATCTTATCCAAGTCTTCTTGAAATTTTTCTGTGGCTGATAATAGGTCGGTGGGCGGGAAGGACAGGTATATTTGGAAATCATCTGCATAGATATGGATAAAATAACACTATATTTTATTGTGTTATTTTAAAATTCTAAATTATTTAAACATTTTAAATGATTTATTACTTTTGTTGTTGGCTGTATATGTCTCCCTAAACGATTTTGATATCTGGAGTAAACCTGGCATGAAATAAGAACAAAACTTGCCAACACTATTAAGGCAAGAAACGTTAATGTGATTATTATTGTCCACTTTTCTGATACAGTCTCTTCTACAGTTTCATTCTTTTTACCTATAAAGAAAGATACAATTAATAACAATTTTAAAGGTTTAATTCATTATTGTTTTAAAATAATACCTTCTGTTTCTTTATTATTCGTAATAAGCTTGCACTGATTTTTAATCCTAATTATTGCTGCCGGACTCTTTTTGTTATTAGCCATCGCTCGTAAATGTATTTCAAAAATCTTGCTGAAAGTTTTAGTGTCTATATCAAAGCTGTTTTCTTTCTAAAAGAAATTAGGAGATTGTACAACTAATAAATAATTTTAATACTTAAATATGACGGAATTTATACATTATATTCTTATACAAATATTTATGTAAAATTTTCAACATTTTTTTGTCTTTTTATGCTAGCTATATCATGCAGTGTATATATATTCAAGTTTCGAAAACTGCAAATTTTCAATTTCCAATAACTTCCTTTTATGAACTTCTTTTTTATTACTAAATGTGATAGTATTATATTATATTGATATGCGGAAAATTTCATTATAATTGTACAATATAAGTAAATAAGAGGCCTAAGGAGGTGTCACTGAATGTCTGTAAATTGTACTTGACATCTCTATTACAGTGGAATCTTGCTAATTCAAACTAACTAAAACCAAGGGGGTTTAGATTATCGAAAAATTTGTATTACCGAATTGAAAAAAAAAAATAATGCCACTTCATAAATAACAAGTTATTTTAAAAACAAAAATTGTAGATGTATTTACATAAAAATATTTTTACAATAATTAATCATTGTTTAGAAGTTTTCAACTAGCAACAATCAATAAGCAACAAAAGATACTTTGTAAAAAAATTCCTGCATCTCCCAAGGTATGCAGCTAATTATATTTTGGCACACAAAATCAGTCTCACCTTGATATACTCCTACACACTTAGAATTCATTTCGACTATATTTTGAAAGTGCTGGAGATGCCAGATTTTCGTTTGCCACATATCCTAGCCACATATTCGTTATCCACATATCCTAAGGTGATAACTAAGAGAGTTTATTGGTACCAAAAGTGGTTAGAATTCGAGGATAGTTGTAAAATTAATCTTGGTACTGCAAATATCGGTGATCTGCGCGGAAAATTGACTGTTGTTAGACATAGGGTAGAGGACTTAAAAAAAAAAAAACCTTCAAAAATGTCTTCATTAAAGTCTTTCTGTTATGCAGGACAATGTTCAGTGGGTACTGTTGCACTCTATCTTAATGATAGTTTTGATATTGTAACTATAGGATCAATTTTTTGATGTAGGACAGAATTGCTTGATTTAAGTATAAAACTATGGATGGTGGGGGACGATTGCTGTTCGGTATGTAACTCAAGAAAAAGAGGATATCTTTCACTTTTTGGGTACTTGTCACATGTACAGTGAGTTAAGAGAGAAATGTTTGGGGCAGCGGACCTGTTCTCAGGAAGAATTATTTGGTTTTTTAAAGAGTTCTAACTGAAAAGCCTCAAGCAATGATGTACAGCAGGCCACATTGCAAAGATCTCAATTGGTCAGATAGTAAACTATTGATACAATATCGTGTTTAATTAAATTTCTTATTTATTTGATTTATGATGCGTTGATGTTTGTTTTTTGAAAACTCTATTTAAACAAATGAAACAATGAAGAAGAAAATTGCTAGAATGGATCTATAAATATATAATAATACTGTAGGTATATTATTACTCACTTATTTTAGTTATACATGTAATGAATATTTATTATTAATTACACACAGACCTCGACAGACGGACTACCACTATCTTTTTCCTTTTTGTCTCTCTAATACGGCGTAGCTTGGGGTCATGTCAAAATAAAATTTTGAATAATAGCCCATTACCAAAAGGATGAAATGCTGAAAATTTCCCTCACTTATAGTATTCAGGTCCGGTTTTTGGTTTCTGAGATATTTTAATCCACATGCAAAAAACAATTCAATTAGACTTTGCCCAAATGAACATATTCGAACATGATGGCTCAGTCTCATTCACTACCAACAAAAAAAGTGCAAAGCACGTCTAAAAAAGTTTTCACTTCAATAATTAATTCAGATAGTGCTCAAAACTGCCTTGAAATATTTTGTGAATATTCAAAAGCTATTGAATTTACTGGATTGTTCTCATCCTCTATGAATTAGTTATTTGTTATAGATTGATGTATAGTTATAATACTCTTAACCAAATTATGTGTCTTTTTATAAAAAATGTAGAAAGAATGACACAAGTCTCAAATGTAAGTATCGCTTAGGATGTCGGAAATGGTTTTGGGGTTGGTCATTGAAATTTTGTCTGAGTAAGGTTTTTAGAAGTGAATAAACTATAAAAAATTTCTTGTTGTCACATTACCCCATTGATAGTAAATTCTAATTTTGCTCCGTTAGATAACAATAAAATTTTCACTGAATATGAATCAGGGAATTTGTGCGGAGTCTTCCATTTTATAATGGCTTTGCATTCTTCAAAGGTGACATTCAGATTTAATGGTTTTTCAGGTTCTAGAAAGAAAAAAAAATTATAACTAACTATAAATTAAAAAAAAAATGTTTTTTGTCAATTTGTTATTATTTGACTCACCACAAATATGATAATCATAATTATTTATTTCATTGCATGATGGTGTTTCAAAATGTATCAAGTATAGGCCCCCTTCTTTAGTTTCTGTTTCAGCGTATATACGAATTTCATATTTAGTTGAATAATATAAATTAGTGACTTTTACATGGTACAAGTCTTCTACCTGTAAACAATTTTTTTTTTATAATTTGAAAAAAAATATTTTATAGTATTTAAAAATGTTTTCTTACACTTGGTATTATTTCTTCTATTTCTTGCCTTTTTATGGACGAAATAATGATATGATATCCACAAACAAGTTCTTGAAAAGAAAGAGAAAAAAAAGATGAATTATCAAATCATTAAATGTTGGTTTTATTAAACTGCTGTACCCTAAAAATTTATGAAATCTTAATTGGGTGTTTAGCTAACATTTTTATTTTTTTTATTATAATGTCATCATAAAAACACTTGCTGTATTGTAAATGACAGGATTTTACTGATTCAAGATTCTGGGCTCGGACAGAATCCTAGAACTGTAAGCTTCCTGCATCAAATGACTACCCCTTTCGTAATTCATTAGGAGATGGAATAGGTTTGATTTTCGAGGTTTGGAAACAGAACGAATAGACCCACTTGGCAGATTTGTCTCCTCACCTTTACTATTACCAGTACCAGCAATTTACATATATAATATGCATTTATTTATTACAGATATACAACGTTATGTAACTGATTATAAACCTTATTATACTATGGTTTTATCTCAGCTGAACTTGCATAGCATTTAACTTGACGAGAACCAGCCTAGATATCAACTAGATATTTTTAATGGTTCAATGGCCTTAGTGATGGTTTTACTTTTCTGCTGAGTAAAATACGAAAAAAGTGGTAGCCATAGTTAGAAATCACTCTACATTGAAATTTCATCGAAAAAATAAAAAAATTGCATTGCTCTTAATCTTTCTATGTTTTGTTTTCTCTCAAAATTATTTTAAGAGAATTTTTGCTTTGAGTAATTAAAACTGTAGAAAAATATGTTTTCTGCAGTGAAATGATTTGAAAAACCCTGTAAATTTGACTTTAGCAATCCCGCTAGTATTTTTAAAACTAAAGCAGGTGTTTGTTATTTGAAGGTTGCCAAGATATAGAATATTTGTTATTTTTTAAATTAGGTAATTAATTTTGATAACATAAATTATCTAATATGTAGATATCAATTTAAACCAGCTAAATTGGGTTAACAAATATATATAAATTGTAAATTAAATAATTATTTTATAAATTATAATTTCTATAAGATGATGGTTGTGGGTGCAATTGAAATGATAAAAATAAAATTGCTGCACTTCTATAATAGTCAAATATTATTTCTATTATTCAATAATGTAATTTCTTTACGCACACAAATACATTATATGATGAATTAGTTCACCTAGCTTACCTGTAACTGCTTCCCAAATAATTGTTGTGCCCAAATATTTTCCAATTGGTACAAAATCTGTAATCCAGGCATTCTTGACATTGCTTAGTGTTACGTTCCCTTTAACATTATTAATATTAAGAATATTTTGCTAATGTAAGATATTTTTTAATCTTATATAACTTACTTGGCAATGTATAAAATACTCCCGATTCCAATATTACACCTGTGGGCTTTCCTTCATTATATGTTTTGATTCGAAATATATATCCTCCCGTTAAATTTTTTATGGATACAGTGTTCTTGTCAGCTATTTTTTGTATCTGTTGTAAAAATTATAAGGATTTAAAACATTATTTTAAAAATTAACTACACATACTTAATTTTTCGGACTGTTACAGTTGTTTCTTGTTTCCATTCTTCACTGAACTGAGGTCGATATTCGATCAAATATTCTGTTCTATTGTTTTTACTTGTCTGCCAGGATACTACAAGTTTGTTCTCATCATGACATAGTAAGTTTAGTGTATTTTTTTCTAGAAAAACATTTTAAAGTAATTTTTGAAACATTATTACTTACTTAAATATATTTACATTAATCTTATGCATGTAGGCTTCATTTAATAGAGGTTTTAAAAATTTTCCTAATTATTAAAAGTACAAAATTAATCAAAAAAGTAAACAATATCTTATGAGAATTCTTTAATCATTTAATTAATTTTTTGTTATGATTTGAATGTGAATTGCATTTTTTTTTTTGAATGGCTAAAATGTTTGTAGTTGAAAAAATATATCTAGTTGAATGTAATATCCTTACCAAATTTATCTTCTTTTATCAGGCACTTTTCAATGCAATCTTTATTGTTAGGTCCCTGAAATAAAAATATAGAAATTCTTGAATTGATCTGTTTTTAATTATTTTTAAAATTTGTGAAACAAGTTAGTGTATTGAATAAGAGTAACATTACATAGAATTGATTTTTGAGGACTATCTATTATTAATAAAGCTACAATGACACTTATTTTCATGTCACAAAGCCATTTTATTTTCCAAGGCCTCTTAGGTTTTGAAAATATAATTGGAAGTAACTCAAAAAACAATGGATTATAGAGTAGTTATTTATCTCTTTTCAATGTGTGCGGAACAAAGCGTTAAAGTATTTAAATAATTTTATCAGACTTAGGAAAGATTAATAGCTAATTGACTCATGCATAGTTTATTGGTCAATTTAAAAATGACAAAATATAGAAACAAATTAACAAATTGTATTAAAGGGGGTCTTTAGTGGATTAGTCTCACCAGTTATTACTTTCCTACCTATACTAGGTGAGGAGAGTATTGCAATCGGGTAAAATTTCCGACATGCGTTTTTCGATGGATCTATACGTTTCACAGCCCCCTGAGTCCGAAAAACACATTTTTAGCCATTGATCTGTCTGTCTGCCTGTCTGTGTCAAGATGCTGAGCCGATTTTGTTGCTTCTTTTTTTATTTTGTAGGGTTTTGACTACTGATGCCTGTGACAGAAATTTGTTGCTCCATGCGCAATAAATGAAAATCATGTTTTTCTATAGACTGTAGAAACGGCTCTAACGATTTTGATGAAACTTTTCTATGATGTTCTAATCATCGTCCTTTCAATTTTCATATATAGACTAAATTCCCAAAAAAATTCAGGAAATAAAGTTATAAAGAAAAGAAAAATGTTATGGGGCCGAACTCCTTATGTATATATTATACGGTAAAATTTAAAATAAAACTTTTGAAAGGTAATTAAATTACCAACAAAACAAAAAAAAATCATCGGAATCGAACCAGTATTAACGATGATACAGCTTATTCTATTTTTTTTAACTTATTTATTTATTTTTTTTTTTTTGCCCCCCTGCCTATAGCCTATTGTTTGAAAGGTAATGAAATTCCCTAGAAAGCCGTATAAAAATCATTCATTTTGGACAACTATTAACGAAGTTACAGCTATTCAATTTCCAATGAAAGATTACGAGTTTACTGTTGCCCGCATCACACAATCTTCACTATTTCCTCTACTTTTAACAGAAATTATTGTTTGACAATACTAAGCTATGGCAACAAGTTTTTGATCAGCAATATTAGCGAGAATTGAAATTTTTACACTGATCTTCCTTAAGCCGGTTTCATTGCTTTAGTTTATCAAATAAATCGTACTCAAATCTTTTATTTGATCAATTTTCAGGAAAATAAATTTAGTTCAATTCTTTTTTGTTTCTTCATGAACATATGTAAAGATATAACAACTTTTCTCAAATAGGTAGGAAAGTCTTGTGAGTGGACACACCAGATATTTGTTTAATAGTAACCTGTTATTTTATGTGATTAAAGAAAAACATATGATATCAAAAGTTTTGGTTAACCTAATTCACATTTTTTTAAAAAGGTTATTCATATGGCTAAAACTCTTTGATTGATATTAGTAACGTTGTCTTAAACAAATTTTTCCATGGCATCTTCTCTGCCAAACAAAGTCACATAGATATGAATCTTTCATATTTCTGACTATGCCACATTCCTGCTTGTTTCTACTCTTTATAGTAGTCCACATTGACTCTTCACTTCACAGGAGTTGACTCTTCACTCAAGGAGTCATAGAGGCAGACTTTCCATTCTGGTTCGGGGAGGCGATGGACCCCCAAAAAAATTTCCAGAGTTTATATTCTGTATAGAAATTATGAGTAATAATTAACATAATTATTGTAAAATGAATTAATTGTACGTATATATTAGATTTTTTTTTTTGGATGGGTGTATTTAAAAATATGTTAACAAAGCTATTCTCTATGTTACATATTTTTATTTAAATGTTTGAGGCAGTGAGATGAACTCTCAATTCTCTGATGCCTTAAATTTACCACGAACTAAACGGAAATGTAATAAAATCTTCTCATAAAAAGGAAAAGATGCTCATGAATGAAACAAAAAATCCTAGGATATGTTGCTACATATATTGTTTCAATTGTTGCTACACATTTGTTTCTTCAGATAAATCAAATATGTTTACAAATTACAATATGCTGTACTTTTGCCATTAATGGTCTGATTTTGATGATTTTTTTATCCTGTTTTCTGGGGAGTTTAATAACCTTTCAAATAATCATGGGGACAATCAACCATAAATTCGGCATTCTCTCTCCCTATCTACATTTAAATCCCTCATATTCCAATTTCTATCCCAAAAACAGTCAGATACCCCCCCTTCCCCTCCCCCCCGCTAACCTTTTATGTAAATTTACTTATTATTCAAAATGATTCACATAATGATATATTTACATATAATTCATCATTTAAATACTTACTATCAGATTCGTCTTCTTTTTTTCTGCAGACACACAGAGTTTATTGCTAAGAAGAATGTAATTTATTTTTTATTTATTTTTATAAGTGTATACTTATGTTTTACCACTGTACATAGTTTTAAGTGTCTTGGCATGGTTTCAAGTGTTTTGTATATATATTTTTTTTTTTATTTTTTGTTATTCTAAAGGGACTTCATCCCAGAATGAAATTATTTTCTGTTCTATTCTATTCTAAATTGTATACTTTTTGAGTTATGCCCAAATAAGTTTCCTTTATATAAAAAAAAGTCTGGGGATTGTGCCTATTTTATCCATCCTAAGGTAAAATAATCTTCAAAATTATGGCTCAATCAAATCATTAGATTTGATGAAAAATTAATGAAGATATGGTGTACCAAAAAAAAAAAAAAAAATCTGACAAATATTATATGAAGAATTTTGTGTAGTCTGTAGATAAAATAAAAACATTATTTTTTATTTTAAAAATCCGGTACATGATTAATATGAAGTTACATTTTAATGTGTATTTTATGAAATAATAATAAAGACAACTTCTATACACATATAATTAAAAATTACCATTAATTCTGAATAAAGTTATTTTAACTTGTGTTAAATATGTATTTCATTAATTATAGTTTGAATATAAAATAATTACCTATTAACAGATAATTAATTTATATTATGATTATGTTCTGTGGCACTGTTTACTATTTTAACTAGCGCTTTTCAATTCTTTTACTTATGTTGCTCTTTATTTACATTAGAAATTTCAACACTTCATTATTGAGTGAACATATGTACTATATAACCCGACAAAAATTAGAAACAATTCATAGCATAGCTTTTATTAAACAAGTAATAAAAGAAAATATAATTGCCTTTCTGACAATTATTAAAAATCTTTAACCAGTTGTGTTTTACAGTATTATTTTAGTATCATACCCTTCTGATATCAACTATATGATTTATTTTTTCCATTTAATATGCTTCCCTTATTCCTCTCCTGTTCAGATAGTGATACTTTCAGTTATCTTGAAAACAATTATGTGGACCTTTATAGAAAGATTTTTATGAGGTCGGATTCTTAGTTGTAGAGCCACGTGAAGTAAGAAAGTAAAAATTATCCATTTGTCATTAACTACGGGCATAACATTTAAAGGCCTGGATGTTAATCCAGAAACTTTGGAAGTTCTGCTATGTAGGGACACTTCCCAAAAGAAAACAGAGCAATATAACTAGAAAATTACCTTTGTCTACCATAAAACCCAAGATACTCCATCATAACTTTTTTAAACTTCAATTTCTGGTGTATATAAATATTTCTTCTGGTGGAGAAGTTTATCTTCAAAATCAGGGCACAATCATTAGTTTGGATGAAATAATGAGGGAGACTTACAAAAAAAAAAAAAAACCTTTGAGAAATTATATATAGACATTAAAACATTGTATGTAGGAAAGAGACTAAAAAAATAAGATCTTACATTTCATAAGGATTGGAACTAGAAAGCAAAAATAAATTCAAGCTCAAAATATCATGAAATATGATTGTTCCGATCTCTCCCCTCTCATAAAAAAAAATATTTTATTACAATATATTAACTGCTCGAGTCCTATCTCAAATAATGGGGAATAAGAGTGGATTGATTATTAAAATTCTGTTCTATGCAGTTAAAGATTAGTTTTGTTAAAATCTTTTGTCTTACTGAACAAAAAGTCTACATTTTTTTATTAATAGAGAATGCTTTGAATAGCACAATGAAAATAACTTTAAAACTTTATTCAAATAACAAACTACTCAGATTATTTTATATGATAGTTCACTATTTTTTCTGACTAATTGTAACTTATATATTTATTTAAATAATAAGTTTGCTATCATATTAATATTGTAGTTATCCATGTGTGTCCCTCTTACAGGGCTATTACAACATATTTCTGGAAATTGTTTTTATGATCTAACTATTTAAGATATTAAAAATTTATGTTTATATTATTGAAGTGACTTTACTACTAATAAAATCATTTAACTCACATTATCACATGTACAAGCGAAGGCTCGGCAATCCGTAAGATATATCAATGCTAAAACCACAAGCAAAGACATCTTGTATCTTGGCCTATAGAATATTTGTATTATACATGAGCCCTTAATATATGATCAAATATTCCTAGGTTATACAACTCCTGTCCGAATCAAAATAACCCGTACTCTCTTGCCCTCCCTTCTTTCAAAAATAAAATTGTATCAAAATGTTCAGAAACCTATAATTTATATTTAATAGCAGGAATGTTTTTTAAGCATTTCATTTTCTTCATATAATATTCCAACGAATGGAGCAATTAAATTGGCTGTAAAATAAAAAAAAAAATCCCTAATATTTTTTACTTTGTTGTCATCAAAAATACTTAAATATAAATATTTGACTGATTTATCATACTTATTCCAAACTTTAGTTTAATAAATCAATAATCAACAGATGGATGCCTTTTTCTTTCCACAATATATTTTTAGTGGCTGTATTACAAAATGCTAAATGCAGACTAACCCATATTTAGTTCTCATTCCTGAGAAGAAATATAAAAGTGTCTTAGGAAGTGAAACTTCCACTCTTGATCAAAAATGAAATAAGAAATTTGATAAACAATTTATTTTTATGATAATTATCGTGATACATGAATCCTTGGAAAACATTGGTTCAGTATTTGATTGTCTGCCTCTAATTAACTAACCCAAAGTATAGATTTAAAATAAATATTTAGTATTAAGGTATAAAAAATAAATTTAAACATTGTCACATTAAAAAATTTTTATTCAAATTCATAAAGATAAAAGTACGTACAATCTAAATATAAGCTGTACAAAATAAATGATATTGAAGACCATTTTAAGACAATAAAAATAATTAAATGCAATAAAAGGACACAGGGACCAGTTTAGAACGGTCTCATTTAATAAACTGAAGAGGACAGGAATAGAACATTAAGGAATGTTCCTATTGCAGGAGCCCCTTTGGCGCTAACGACCACCACTTCACCCTCATTAAACTTTTTTTTTGTCTTCTCGCACATACGCAGCACTTAGCGTTTCATTTTAAGTGCTCATCGATTCAGTGACCTTCTAGTCACAGACCTCATGTTTTTCTCTATCTCAAACTGTCGCAGATCTGCCCTCTGAAGGAAGTCTTGTTTTTCTAAATACCTGTAATTTACATCCGTTATTAGATTGGTAACATTATATAAATGAACAAATATAACTTACAGTAAAGGGAGAAGTAAAATAAATAAAATAACAGGAAGATGCAAAAGATGCTAGCTTATAATTTCCAAAAAAAGAAACTAATATGTTGAAATACTGTACTCAAAACAGAAGTTCACTATACGTACACACATAATATGTGTAACGAATTTGTGAACTGAATTCATTGTCCAGTAGCACAAACAAACCACACTACGATAACAAAATGTTAATTGTGAAGAAAGAGATGGTCTGGGATAGAGGTCATCAAAAATTTAAAATAGTGAAAACTACTATATTTTAATCCAATGTTTTGACCCAACTATGCAATTCTTCATCAGAGTTAGAATGAACAAGATACAAAGGATATAGAAAATTGTATGAGTTACAAAACATTTAGATAAAAAATGATAAACAGAGTAAAAAGTATAATATAAAAGATGTAGAGATGGTTGACCATTGATATAATATGAGAAGGAGTTAGTCGAGGGTGCGGTCAAATAAATAAAAAATTAAAATATATTAATTATTTTAATTTTTGCCGACGTTTCGACCCACTTTGCAGGTCGTCTTCAGGGCGTAGGATGTAGCATTGCGGAAGGCAGTTGAAACGCAGTGTTTCAACTGCCTCCCTCAGTGCTACATCCTACGCCTGAGACGACCTGCAAAGTGGGTCGAAACGTCGGCAAAAATTAAAATAATTAATATATTTTAATTTTTTATTTATTTGACCGCACCCTCAACTAACTCCTTCTCATATAATATAAAAGTATTAAGAACATGAATGAACCAATATTAAATGAAGTATTAAGAACAAGTTTTTACAAATTTATTACTTTATAGTTGTTAATACTTCATTTACTCAGTTAATATTTTAATTTTCTTAATACGTTATATACTTTTTATTTATACTGTTTATAATTTTCTTAATTTTTTATCTAAATATCTTGTAACTCCTACAGTTTTCTATATCCCTTGTTCTAGCCCAAATAAAGACCAGCATAGTTGGGTCGAAACTTGGCTCAATATAAAATAATTGTTCACTATTTTAAGATATTTTAGGACTGCTCTCTGAACTATTTATTTCCTTACTATTATTATAATATTATTTATACTGTTTACAATTTTCTTAATTTTTTATCTAAATATCTTGTAACTCTTACAGTTTTCTATATTATTCGTATATTTTTCATTCTAGCCCTGATGAAGACCTGCATAGTTGGCTCAATATAAAATAATTGCTCACTATTTTAAGGTTTTTTATGACTGCTCTCTAAACTATCTCTTTCCTCAATATTATATTAGGATAAACCATCGAGTATTCGAAATGTAAATAGGTTGCTGTGGGATTTACTGGATCACGTAAATGACAGTTTTCTATTGTAGACAATGGATTTACGCACATGTGTAAACATGGCCTAAGTCAAATTCCCTCTTTAAATTATTTGAGTATTCACAGCTCACTATATTTTAATTATTTTTTAAATCCCATCCGGATAAAGGTGATGTCAATATGATGATGCTATGATTTAGCAGCCGTCTGATGTATATTCATAATCACAAATCTATTTTTAGGAATTTTCTTTTTTTAAATTGTTATTTGAGTTAGTAAATTTTAAAGTTTCATAGCAAAAGGGAAAACTAAAATAAGAAAATGAGTTATAACAGCATAGAAGACTTAGTTCTCTTAGCTGAAGTAAAAAGAAAAATTTCTGTGATGATGGAATTGGAAAGCCAGGTCTAATAAGTGGTAGTTGCAGAATGAAACAGAGCATTCAAATCAATTTAAGGCTAAATTAAAGAAAAATTACTTGATTTAGTAACAATTGTACAATCAGTCAATATATAAAATAATATCAATGATATAAAGGTAGAAGGTTGCAACCTTTGATGCAGTGAAAATATTTAAAGCTTCCAACCGACTTTTTTTCTTTCTCACTCTGCTTTAGTTTTCTGGGTTATAACAAAATAAAATCTAAAAATAAATCACTAAAACTAACTGAATTTTAAAAAAGAGTAATAATCTCTTATCTCTCAACAACGCAAATGATTTCTAAACTTTAGGAAACTTAACCACTCACTCATTTAAGACAAAAAGGCTTTCAGAAATATTTCTGAAAATAAGCGATACTTAAAAGTGCACATTTAAAATGCATTTACTTGTTAAAATTTATTAACTAACACTCAAAATTGAGGAAAGATAAACCTAAAAAACTTGTGCCTCAATAATTTCTCAAAAAATATACGTTGCTGGACTCTCTTGAATTGAGAATCACTCACTTAGCAGCTTTTAAATTTGAGTATGAATATTATAAAAGGCTTGGCGAATCTGAAGGTTAGGTGCCGATACCACCAATTGCTGTCAACATATTTCCCTTTCATTCAAAACCCAACTAGCCATATCAGCCTAACATAATCCCCCCACCATCGCTCAGGTCTACTCCTCTGATGCTTACCAGTCAGCACAGAGCTTATTAATTCTTATCAAGAGTATAAATATAAGAAGAATAAAATATGGCACGTCAAAAAATAAATAAACTGACCCATTTCTGCCTTTGTTGTGCCTCTCAAGATCTTCAACTATTCCTTCTTTGGCCTTGAAGCTGTCCCAGTCCAGCTTGCTCTTCTCCAGAGTGCTCAGCTTACCCTTCTTGCCGATCATGCTCAGCACAGAGCTAAGGCCACCGGTGCTTGCTCGACCGCCACGCTTGCTTGATTCTCCAACTGGAGCAGGCTTCTCGATTCTATAATTATGATAAAAATTGACAAATACTTTAACAATATTTAATTAAAATAGGACAAATAATAAAGAAAACGTTCATCAAAGGACTTCAGCAGAACAAACCATTACTGATTTGAACAGTACTATATACAGAACAAGCTCTTCATTCATTAATATAATTTTTTTAAACAGCAAGTTATATTATACATGGAGAAAAAAAAATTAAGGCTGAGAAACACCTACCGTACTTCCTCTCCAGCAAATGTAAGGACCTGAGTTACTTTAGCGGGTTCAGGTTTGGGTATGGGCTGAGATTTGGGTCGAGGCTGACTTTCGGGCTCAGTTTCAGTTTTTGTTGATTGGGTCTTAGCTGGAGGACCACAGTCTTTCATAAAATCTGTTAAAAACATTAAAATTACAAGTAAGAAAGCAGATAATAACATTCGGGACAATGATTCTATCTAAATAATTTGAAAATATACTATTTACAAACTTAACAATAGATCTTTTTTAATATGGCCCTGGTATTGACCATTGACAGCATTTTTTATCTATTAGCAAAAATTATTTTTTATGAACAGCAAGAGAATTGTTTTATTGTGACATTTTAGCTTTTAGTAATTGATATTAAATGGTGTAATACACAACAAAACTGATTATTGAAACGATTAATGAACACTTATTTGAGATTGTTTTCATTTACAGAACTGGTATTTATAAATACCTGCCCAGAGCGAGTCAGATTTTTTCTTTTTTTCTTCTTCTGTTAATACTTCTGAATTTTCTTTCTCCTCTTCTTTTTCTTCTTCTTGGGTTTTACCAATTTTTACTTTTTTCCTGAAATAAAATTATCACAGAATAAACAGTGCGAAAAGGAACTTGTGCCACTTAGTGGACACAATTGATAAAGATTAAAGAAATCTATTAGTCTATTAATTAGTTATCCATATATTCATTTAAATGTTAATAGAAAAAAAAAATGAAAGAAAGAAAATAAATCAAGAATTGAAAAGTTCCACAAATTTGAAATCAAGCTTTTCATTAAAGAATATAATCAAGTACATTTAAGAAAAAATGTAAAGAATTATAGTCAAGTAATTTTCAGCAGTAAGAGAAGTTGGGTGGGGATTGCAGTCAGAAGTACATAAAAATTATATTTATTTTCTCTGTGACAATATTTTGGCACAAGCTTTCAGGCCTTCCTTCATTAGGGCTGCTTGTTATCAAAAGATATTGGAAGATTAGCCTAGTAGTACAAAATAAATATAATTTATTTGTGTGTACTTCTAATCACTGTGATTCCCGAGCAACCTAACTTATAAGAATTTAAAGATAACTATTTCTCCACCATAAATGCTCATTTGATTTAATAATTTGAAGGGCCACATTGAGACCTTCACTAAAGTCCCGCTGGCCAAGACTTGTGATGAAAAAAAAAAAAAAAAATTGTTCTATAAATGACACTTCAACTGTGAAATAAGGTTTCTACTTACAAATGGTGTCTCCAAGGGTAAATATAAGCCCCTATATTTTAACAATTTATTCAATTTTAAACGATGTTTTGAAGTTCTCAAAACACCATAATTACACTTTCTACTACATTATTCTATTGCATCTTGTTTCCTGTTTACAACAATGTAAATGTAATGTACGACGTTCAATTTTATTCACATATTTTATAATGCTTATCAATTAGGGAATTCGGCACTACCTTCTCTTACTGTCGTTTAATCAGGTTTCTACGAGAAAAAAACCCACACAATAAATGTTGTGGTAACCTCGTGTGCGAGTAATTTACTAAATTTCACATTTTTAAATATTTTTTGAAATTTTACCATGTAATCTAAGAAATTTTCGTGGACCAAATTGAAGGAGCTTGCAGGCGGGTAGTTTAGAGAATCTTAGATAATTGCGTTACCCATAGTTTGTGAAATGTATAAACACAATTTGATGTTATTTCTTAAGCTATATCACTAATTTCTAAAGTAATTTATGTGCAACTCAGGACCTGACCTAACAGGGGGAGAGGCAAAGCTGAAAATCTTTCAATTGACTACCTCCACATCAAATTAGAAATAAAACATTGAGAGTTAAAAGAGTGGTCAGTGAGTCAGGCAAGTAAACGTTCTGTAACTTGATCTAAGAATATAGTGAGGGCTACACCATACATAACTAAGTGTTAAATATTGTCTACAAAAATATTTTGTTGAATAAAACAATTATTTTATTCAAGCCTAAATCCCATTAATCTACAACATCCTTGATGTCAAAATATCCTTAAGTGTCAAAGGGGAAAGGGTAGTTGGGACAAAAGCCAACATTCATCTGTTTCCGGCATTTCATGTTCAGTACCAAGTGTTTGTGAGCCACACCTAATCTGTGTGGAACTCTTGTGAACGAATTCAGGAGTAAACTTTTTAACTAATACTGAAAGAGTTTATAAGTTAAAATTTATTAATTTAAATATAATCAGAATATTGAGCATTCAAGGACAAACAAATTAAAAATAAGCTTCAGTGTTAAATGTTATGTTGACAAATAAAATAATGAAGTCAAAGTTACGTGTTATCACTACTAAATCTGAGAGCTAGGAAAAAATGTATTTTTGCTTCTTAATTACAGGAAACCACTCGAAATTTTAAAATGGATTTTGGAAAACTCACCTTTTCTTGGTCTTGGTAAGTTTTTTTCTTTTTCGGCTATTTTCACTGGTTTTTTCTGTATCACTACCAGGTTCATCAACACTTTCATTGCCAGATTCCTCTTCGGACACTTCATTACCATGACCTAATTGTAAATTACTAATGATATTAAAAGAAAATTAAAAATACTAATTAATAATCAAATATTGTGGTTTATGACCTGCTGGTACGTAATCTTCATCACTGGAATCACTGTCCATAGGTAATTCCTCCTCCATGTTTCTCTATTAAATATATTTTAAAAAATTGTTAAGGTGAGAAAAACATAGATTTAATAAATTTAGGAAAGTTATGTTACTTTCATTAATGATTTAAAAATAAAACGAATAATACACAATATGAACTAACAAAGAAAAAAAAATCGGATATAAAATCGAGAATAAAAGCCGGTAGTTACTTAGTAATAAATCTCATTTCATTAAAAATTATTTATGATGTTACTTCAATCACTATAACTTACCTTTAACACGGTAACAAAATATTAATTAACCAATATTTCCCAACTCCCTACAACCTTCTGGGGAATTTCAACGATTAGTACTAGACACTGAGCATGCGCTAGCTGGTGGGGATCAAACAGAGCTTTATTGATTTATTATTAAAAATAAAATCCTACTAGAGTTCGTAATTAGTTAATAACGCGTCTCGATTGAATAATATGTATATTTTAAAAGAAATAAGAAGAAATTCAATGTTTAGCAATTTATTTTCGGTGGTTGAAGGAATTCCATGACCATTAAGAAACAATTAGTCTATTGGAAGTATAAAACGAGGAATATTTCCTACTATATTAAATTTCTGAAATTATAAATTTAGTCATTTATTTTTATAAAACTGCTTTTTGGCATCAACTTCACTAAATATGCGGTTGTGACGAAAATCGATTTTTTTAGTCGATTAGTGACCGCATCTGATTGAAAGGAGAACAATTTCAACCACTTTAATCTTTTGACAGTTGCGCATGTTCTTACTTTTCATTAGCATTAAACGTTCATTTAGCTATGGTAAATAGTTTAACCTTGGTTTTTAAAAATCAACAGATTCATATTGGTTCACGGTTCTTGAGGTCAATGTTATCTTTAAGATGCATTTAGAACCTTTATGGAGTCCCTCTCTTATCAGGTCTATTTTTTGTTTGTAAACTACTGATTAACTTTTACTTTGACACTGATGACATAAACTTGAAGTTTTTTTTCTTCTATATAAAATGATACTTAAGAGTTTTCATTTCCAAACTATTTATTTGTAGTGTTCATTATGGTCTAGAAAGGTCATCATTAAAATGATATGTATGTGTTGTAGAGAGTTCTTACAAATGGAGAATAATTATTTCAAAATTATAATGTGAGCTGTCACAAAAATGAACGATGACAGAATTCCAAGACGTACTTGGCAGCTCGATGCCTTCATCGATGTTATTGGCCTTACTCCAAGGGCCCCTCTTGTATCATTTCCAGGTAGTTTTTTTATCTTTCTTTTATGTGACTTTGTAATATTTTATAACATAAATGAGTTCTTATTATAATTTTAACTGTAAAATTCATGACATTTTCAGTGTGAATTTTTAGAAAATTTGCTGATTTGATTGAAAATAAATATTTTAGAGTAAATCATCCTTCTTTACTGAAGTAGTTTTGATTTGATAGGACCAAGTTTCTATTATTAAGTACTTTTAACTGTCTTGTTAACTATGTTTTAACAAATCTTGTTAAATTTGTTTTACCTGTTAAAGACATTAATTTTTTTAAGCATCATTAATCTGGAACAGTGTATTATCATCAGCTATTATGTCACTTTTATAATCAATATCAATTTTAATGTATAACATTATTTTTATCTATACTTATTATCTAAACATCACTGGTTTGAATACAATGGTCAATTCTCTCTAACCCTCTCACATAAATATGCAACGTAATGAAATAATCTTTATTGCATTTTACAAGATTATCAATATTATTTGAGAAGGAATTAGTCGAGGGTGCGGTCAAAAAATAAAAAAAATTAAAATATATAAATAATTTTAATTTTTGCCGACGTTTCGACCCACTTTGCAGGTCGTCTTCAGGGCTACAAAAGATACAAACATGTTGAAAAAATAAAAATAAAATAAAAAATAAATATAAGTATATATAAATTACGAAGAAGTTGTCAGATACAGAAATAAAAGATAAAGAAAATAAATACATGATAAGAAAATAGATAAAAGAAAATAAATACATGAATGTTAACGAATAAATGAATGTTAACGAATAAATTGATTGAAAATTGAATAACTATTGTTACAGTAAAGTTAAAATATGGATAAGATAACATAATAATAAGATATCAGTGGATAACAAGCAAGTGGAGGTTACCTTTAATTGTAAATAAACAGATAACGGGACCAAAGGTTAAGAAGTGAAGAAATTGAAAGATTAATAGGGTAACATTAGTGTAATATTGTTGGGATAGATTATTAAGTATAAATAACTCTATAAGAAAACAATAATTTTAAAAGAATACTTTAAAATGTAAGAATAAATGTAAAAACAAGGTTATGATGATAAAGAAACAAAAAACAGGTTGTACTATATATAGATGACAATTGACATTTAGTTTTTTGAAAGCGGTAATGGAATGGTAGGCTATATGAAGATAATAATAAGGTGTATAGTTGAAGGATAGGTGTGTTAAGAAAGGAATCTCAATAAAAGTCAAAACATACCGTTGGATGTGGCACTGCGGGAGGCGGTTGAAACACTGGCAGTGTCAAAAACTCTAGTTAGCAGTGTCAAAAAAAAAAGTTCTAGTAAAAATAACCATATATATAATAAATATATATATAATAAATTTATATATATATATATATATATAATAAATTTTAATAAATATATTTTAATAAATATATATATTTTAATAAATATATATATATATAATATAAATTATATATATATATATATATATATATATATAATAAATAACAATATATATAATAAATCTATATATATATATATATATATATATATATATATATATATATATATATATATAAAAGGAGAAGTAAAAGAAAGTATAAATGGAAGTGAGAAGATTAAATAGAGGTTTATGATCGAGACTTTTTTAAAATGTTGATGATTTGGGAGTAGGCGAGTGATAGATTTTGCTTGTCGGTTTTTAAGTTTAGTGGTTTGTAGTCTAATTGAATGAAAACACTTTCCGTAAGTAGTCTTTTGTCGTGGTTAGGTACTGTGGCAAGAATGGAGGTATTGTCAAAGTCAAATGTGTGGTTTGAGGTTAAGGCGTGTTCAGAGAGTTTAGAAGCAGTAGAGTTCTTAGAAGTAATTGAGTATTTGTGTTGTTTGATGCGGTCTTTAAGTTGGTTTTTGGTTTCTCCAATATAGGCGGAGTTACAATTGGTGGTAGAGCAAGGAATGCGGTATACGATATTAGAGCGGTGTTGCGGAGCGATGGGGTCTTTTAGGTTGGAGTAAATATTGGCAAGTTTGTTATAGTTTTTAAAAGCAACTCGCAGGTTGGGAATAGAGGAACGTAAAGATTTTTGAATTCTATCCGAAAGTAAAGGGATGTATGGTAGAGATCTATATAAAGGAATGGGGGGCTGATTTTGAGAACTAGAGAAAGGGATGGAGGATGAGGGGCGGGTTTTGTAGTCAGTAATAAGTTTTTTAATGGTGTTGGAGGGGAAGTTATTAGACAATAGTATCCGTTGTATGCGTCTAGTGTTTGTTTCATGTAGGTAAGGGTCAGATAGAGAAAAACATCGGTGAATGAGGTTTTTGGCAACGTTAAGTTTTTGGTGAAAGGGGTGTTGAGAATAGTAGTTGAGTAATCTGCCAGAGTATGTTGGTTTTGTGTACCAGTCTGTGGATAAAGTATTGTTGGGATGTCTTTTAATGAGAAGATCGAGGAAAGGGAGGGAATAGTTATCTTCGTATTCAACTGTAAAAGAGAGGCGGGGATGATATGAGTTAAAGGCGGAAAGGATGTCAGGAATAGTATCAGGATTGACGATGAGAAGAAGGTCATCGACGTATTTTTTTATAAGAAATATGTCATTAGGAAACTGTGGGGCTATGGTGTTTAGGAGATCATTAAGAACAATGTTAGATAAGTCGGGTGCGAGAGGATTACCCATAGCTAATCCTGCAATTTGATTATAAAATTGTCCATGGAACTGGAGATAACCAGATTTGCAACAAAGTTGTAGGGATTCAATAAATGATGAACGGTTAAGGGAGGTATGAGACTCTAAGGATGACCAGTTATTTTCTACTATAAGAAGGGCTTTATCTATAGGGATGTTGGTGAAGAGGCTTTTAACGTCGAAAGAGACTAGAATGTAATTATCGGGAATGGTTAGGGATAATAACAAATTACGTAGATGAAAGGAGTTGTGGATATCATATGGATTGTCATGACTAAGGATTTGTAAGGATGGGAGTAGAAATTTGCTGAGTTTTAAAGAGGGAGAGTTGATATTAGAAGTGATAGGACGGAGGGGAGTGCCGGGTTTGTGAATTTTTGGAAGACCATAGAAACGGGGAGCCACGGAGTTATAAGAGATGAGGTTTCTGTAAGTAGGATATGTGATTTGTTTAGAGTGTAAGAGGTTTCTGATATGTTGGTTAAATTGGATTTTAAGAGAAGGAGTGGGGTCACGAGTTGTAGGAGCGTATGTAGATATGTCTGATAGGAGTTCAGTCATTTTTCTATTATAGTCTGTGAGGTCCATGATAACTGTTTTATTTCCTTTGTCCGCTTTAGTGATGATGATGTCGTCATGATTTTTAAGGAAGGAGCGTGTGGAAGAAAGATCTTTGAAGAATTGAGGGGAAAAGTTAGAAGTAGTGGATGGGGGGTGTTGGAGATGGTTAGAGATAATGTTAGTTATGGAAACACGAGATAATTCTTTATTATCATTAGAATGGTGAAAGATCGGATCGTTATAAATATATTCCAAGTCAGTAATAAGTTCAGGGATGAGTTTGGTAGAGGAATTAGGGGTGGAAAAATTCGGACCTAAGCTTAAAATGTTGAGGACGTTGGAAGGAATATCTATGGATGAGGAGTTGTGGACCCAATTATCGTCTCCTTTTGGGTATATCTTATGGACTAACGATTGCTGAAAAATGTCATTAAATTTAGTGGTGAGAATACTTTTTTTCTTTGATCTGGTAGTAATAAAGATAGTGGAGATAATTTGTGATAGGTTAGTCATGTGTTCGTCAGTCATGATGGTTTGTAATAATTGAGTGATGGCGGAAATTTGTTGGTTGAGGTGATGGATATGTTGTATGATTTCACGGATTTTCAAATTAAGGAGCGATTTTTTGAATTTTAAAGAACAGTTAGATAATTTGGAATTGAGTGGTTTGGAGATAGTAATGTGATTGAGGGAATTAGTGATTGATTTAGGAAAAAGAGAGTTGGAGCGGCATTTCAGTAAAAAAATGCGCTGTTCTAACGTGTCGGCAAGGCGTTTATGGAGCGAGCATAGGTTATTAATGTGGTATTTGTGACTAGAATAAATGGTTTTGAAAAATGAGAAGGATAAATTAGCTTGACTGGGAGCGGAACTTATTAGAGAGGAGGAGTTTAAAACTGAAGAGGTCAATGTGTCATCTTGTGACGAATTGTTAAATGAAGATGGAGAAGAGTGTGAAGAGAAGTTATTAGATAACGGTGCTGCGTGATGAAAAGTTCTGGAAGATATTTCAAATCTGGTACTGCGACGAGTGGGAAGAACAGAGAGGTTCTGATGTGCGGATGACTGTTGTTGTACATTGTTGGATCTGGTATTAAGTCTGGAACTGCGACGTATGGACTGAGTGTTTGTATCCTGATGTTGACCCCGTGGTAATGTATTCATAATGATGTAGAGTTGGTTGACCGTTGATATGATATGAGAAGGAATTAGTCGAGGGTGCGGTCAAAAAAATAAAAAAATTAAAATATATAAATAATTTTAATTTTTGCCGACGTTTCGACCCACTTTGCAGGTCGTCTTCAGGGCTACAAAAGATACAAACATGTTGAAAAAATAAAAATAAAATAAAAAATAAATATAAGTATATATAAATTACGAAGAAGTTGTCAGATACAGAAATAAAAGATAAAGAAAATAAATACATGATAAGAAAATAGATAAAAGAAAATAAATACATGAATGTTAACGAATAAATGAATGTTAACGAATAAATTGATTGAAAATTGAATAACTATTGTTACAGTAAAGTTAAAATATGGATAAGATAACATAATAATAAGATATCAGTGGATAACAAGCAAGTGGAGGTTACCTTTAATTGTAAATAAACAGATAACGGGACCAAAGGTTAAGAAGTGAAGAAATTGAAAGATTAATAGGGTAACATTAGTGTAATATTGTTGGGATAGATTATTAAGTATAAATAACTCTATAAGAAAACAATAATTTTAAAAGAATACTTTAAAA